CTTTTTTTTTTAAACTGCTTTTTTACTATAAAAACTATAAACTGTCATAGACCAATTCACACACACACACACACACAAACACCCACACTTATATGCCTGCTTCTTAACCACACAATTATTCCAAGGCTGGCAAAATGCATTGATAAGCAAGTGCACCACACGCACACACACACACACACACACACACACACACACACACACACACACACACACACACACACACACACACACATACACTGCGGTGTGTGAAATTGGGTCAGCAGTGGAGAGTGGGCTTTAATGCTGAGCACATACGCTCTCTCAAACTGATCTGCATATTCATGTGGGTGGCTATCAGAATGACACACACACAAGTAGACACACACTGCCACATGCACGCACATAAATAAGTACATGCATGTACATGTTGGCCTAAACTTATCCATCCCACACACGTGCCCACATGCACACACATACACACATAAACACACACACAGAGCACAAAGAAAACCCTGAATCTCATGGATATTGCAACTGTCAGGGAGCCACAGGGGGCATTTATGCTCAACTCATTCTAATTCTGCGGCTAAAAATGAGCTTCTTCCACTCCAAGCTGCACCATGTCAATCATTTCACTCCTTTTCCTTTCCCCTTCTCTTCCTTCGCTCCCCTCTTTCCCCTCTGGCAATAGCAGCGACCATCTCTTTTGGGAGCAAAGTGGAGTCCGGCCGTCGCTGGCTGCCCAGCAGAACGGCTCTCTCATTACTGCAGAACTTGTGAGCGAGTCCTAACATTTTTAAAAGTCTCAGAAGTGCTCCAAAAAGATATTCACGCACCAAAAACAGATTCTGAGAGCCGGAGAAAGAGAGGCAGAGTGAAGGAGAGGTGTGAAAAAAGGGGGGAAGAAAGGAAGAAGGATGGGGGTGGGGGGGGTCTCTCCCTGAGGATATACTTGTCAAAACCCCCTACTTTGCGTTTCTGACTTTCTCAGCGATGAACAACAGTTTCCTCTGACAAAGCATTTTCCTGCTTATTTGCAGACGAAGGGAGGAGACGGGGCTCAAGTCGGAACGTGAGAAACTGAAAGGATGTAACAAAGGATTCAGAGGCAGTAAGCAGATAGCTCTGAAGGCCGCTAGGGGCCGGGGAGGGAGAGGAGGGTGAGGGAGGGGTTGTGGTGGTGCGGGCTGATGGTGTCTTTTGAAGAGAGCGATGGTAGGGGGAAGAGAAAGGAGGAGACGGAGAGAATGAGACACAGAGAGAGAGTGTGTGTGTGTCTCCTGTGTATGTGTTTGGGGACCCACACAGTGAAGCCCGAGCATGTGATTTATTTCAGAATACTAATGTCTCTTTGATCTCCTCTGCTTAAAAAAAAATACCCTGCTGGGATTGTGGGCACACACACACACACACGCACGCACACACACACCACATGCACAGAAATGTGTGTGTGGTGTATATGTATATGTGTATTTATACACGTTAGCGCACGCCCTTGTATACCTGCAAGCACACATAGCCACATTAATATTGTTGTGTCCCCTCGACTGAATGCTGAGCAGGGCTCATTTATGCGCGCACGCACACACACACACACACACACACACACACACACACACACACACACACACACACACACACACACACACACACACACACACACACTCACACACTCCAACACAAGCACACACACATTGAGTCACACACTTACTCCAGGGCGTCTAATCTACTTTAACTATTGTCAAATCCATAGAGATCCAATTACAAAGATAGAGGGATATTTGTTTTTCTCTGTGCATTCTAAAAGACTAATTAAATTTTCATGTAAAGATGAAATTATTTGATAAAACACAAACCTCTTTTCATTTTCATAATTGTAATGTAATATGTTTTAATTGGGGATCCTGTGACTGTTCCTGCCTAATTCAGCGGCAACATTCCAAGGTCTGTTATCCTTCATAACAACTTAATTAGACATTAAAAAAATACTGAATTATACGGTACCTCACTCGTCTTTCCTTCTTGAATCATACCATGATTATTCCAGGTCAGGCACACTGTAGTGTATCCCAGCATGCACAAGGAAGAAGGCAGCCAATCAAAGAGCCAACAAAGAACACAGGCAAACAGATGCTTAAACTCATTAAACTCAAATGAGGATCCCCCCCCCCTCCCCCCATCATCATGAGTTGTTTGTTTTGAAGAGGCTGGCTTTTTTGTCCATGCTAACAAATTTCAGGACAGCTTGCCCCGCATACTTTTTCGTTCACACATGTCCTCACAGCAGGAGGTTTTCCTCGGGGGGGGGGGTACAGTAATGTTACGACATTTCCAAGATGACAGTCATAGCAACAGCGTCTGACGCTATGATGAATCTTTTGGTATTTACTCTACGTGTAGTTGGACATACTCACAGTAAAAACAAAAGAGTGTCAAAGAACATACTGATGAGGAGCAGCCTTGTTCAGGTCAAACTGGTTGCACAGCCATCGCCGGATATAAACGACATCACCACCACCCATTGGCTTGCAGTGAATTTTTCCATTTGTGTTCACACATGTAGCCCACCCCAGACAATTTCGTGAACATTTTCAGTTGTCATCTATGTAAAGCAAAGTCTCCTTACTGAGTTATATAACAATATAAGCTATTGTGTGCACATTTTAATGTTTTAAGGTAGTGTTGATGATATACGATAGCTTTGAGTGGCTGTGCGAGCTCATTCCCCACTGCTATATTTTCTAATAAAAATATACTGCACACGTGGGTGGGAAGGTCACAAAGTGAGAAAAGACGGTAAACTGAGTCTGTTGAGACTAAAACTAGAGTTTCGAAAAGTGTCGAAAAGCATCCACTGTTCAACCTGTTAGATGACCATGGTAGCTTACTCTGCAAGGCGTATACCTGCTCAGGACCAGGTTGTGTTCAGAACTGAAAATTGTCGTTCATTTATTAATAATGACCTGACAATGTTTGCGGGAAGTATAGATCCTCAGCTGAGGTAATATGTGTAAACATTTACAATCATAACGTGACATGAACGAAGCCAAAGGAGGAAGTTGTGAAGTTTAAGTAGCTCATACGCATTGCATCACAGGAGCATGTTCATTCAGAGATGAATGTAATTATCTCTTTTTCTTTAAATTATGTCAAAGGGCAATGCTTAATATCTCTTCTTATAGACCTTCTTTAGTCTTCTGACCTCACAAAGCCCTCAAACGGTTTTATTTTTCTTGAGAGCACTTCCTGCCACTGATCCTCCAATCTTTCTGTGACATGGATTTGCCTGCGACTGTGGAGTATTAATACTTTTCCACTATCTGATACCAATTCTGATGTTGGTTTAAGCTGTGGAGTTATTGTGCCGTGATAATAGGTTTGAAATAACTGCAATGAAAAAAATACACAACCAAACTGTAGGTTCAGAAATGGATGGTGCTATATGTCAATACCTTTTTTTATGAGTTTAAGGATTTTTTTTTTCTTTCAACACTTTCTGTACTCCATCCATACTGCTCAGGCTTGAAATAGTCAGAGTCTAGTCTCTCCTTCCTCCTCCTGCAGGCCTCCCGTCTCAAATGATACATGGAGACTGTCAGAAACTCGAGCTCCTCCCTGATGAACACCTCCAGCAGCAGCCTCAGGGACGTCAGAGCATACATCTGCTGGCTTTTCCTCCCCTCCTCTTCACAGCACACAGCACATGAAGCAGCTTGGTGATGCCACCTCTCACAGGGGGCTGCCTCCGGGCAGAACAATGTGCCGTCTCCGGGGCGGTTTGGAATCAGATCTGTTCTTTCAGAGGGAGGTATATACAGTATGATATAAGCCTCAAAAACAAATCAAGCTTATCCAAATATTTCTTTAAAGTTTCTGTGACGACTTTCAGGTTAAGCTGACCTTGGCAACCACTTTGGACGAAGTTGTATACCTTATATCTTTACTACAAATGCAGCCTATAAGAATTGTTTTATTATGACACAATCTCATCCTGCTTTATGATACATTTCTTACAATTTAACAACCGTAGCTAATATAACACGCAGGTTCACAATTTTTACTCCCTTCTTCCTCTTTCTATTTTAAGCTATTACACTAAAGCCAAACTGTACACCACCTGCTAAACACCAAACAGCAGGCGGACAAAGGTAGCAATTAGTTGGTATTGAACACATCATTAATGTGATCTAAAGTAACAGATATTTGTCTTAGTAGTTAATAGAAATCAAAACAGAGCTACAAGCTTAATATAGGACTTGAATACATCCCACAATGCAACCTCATCCAACATAGTTTTGTCAGATATGTTTGGCTTTTTTAAATCAATCAATCTTTATTTGTATAGCGCCAATTCATAACAAATGTTATCTTTATAAGTAATAGCAGGTAAAAGACCTTACTCATTGTTATTTGACATTACAAAAGAGCAGGTAAAATGACCGTACTCATTGTTATGTTATGTTTTAATACTAGAAGCCGCCAAAGATGGATATTTCCCTTGGGAGTTGGTAGAGACCAAAACTATAGGCCTAAAAGTTGAATATTTGGGCTTGAATTTGTTGCCTACATTACCTAAAATGCAATTTAGAAACCCAGTGTTGTCAGCTATCGCAACCTATCCTTGAAAATTGTTATCAAGCAGGCTACGCTAACAGCTTCCTACACAGCCAGAAGTTAACACTGCGGGTCAAACAAACTCTGACATCACTATTAGATCAGCAGATGTTGGACAGCTGTTTTCACCCAAAATGCCCTTAATCTCACAGCCTTCTTAAAGGATCTCTGGTGGAGTGAAGGCAGCTGCTACTGACAAAACACTGTTAACAGTCTGCTGTGGGACAGCTGCCTCAAGTCAGAGAGAAGCCTCAAGTAAAAACAGAACAGTTTAAACAGTTTCGTTTCTGTCTCAATGAACTCCTCTCTCGCCCACCACCACCACCACCTAGGTAAACAGCGTCTGTTCTGAGGGTTTCTCTGGTAGACTGCGCCATCTTGTGGCCACTCTGTTGTCAGCACAGGGAGGGCGGAGCTAAACACGCGGACATTGCTGGACTTTGTCTGAACTTGTTTTGTTTCTTTGTGGTGATTTCTGTCTGAAACTGTAAAGCCGACATGGTTCTGGAGGAGCTGGCGGTCCGTCTGAACGACAGGGAGTATAAGAACTGGCTGAAGGCAGGTCGGTGTCTGCTCATACTGAAGGAGGGTCTTCATCCTTTTATCACCCACCACATGAGAGCTTTCCACGGAGACCTTCTCAACCGAAACACCCGGCTGAGGAGACCGTGCGCCACCTCTGCGTGCAAACCAAGAGGGAACCAGGTCAGATAAGTCTGTAAATGATGCGCAGGGATAGGTTAAGTGTTTATGAGTTAATGTAAGTCTCAGTGTCATCGACTTCATTTGTTACAATGTGTGACATAGTTACTCATTATTTGCCTCTCATGTCATTTAGGCTACACACCTAAAATATAGGCTACGAAACTATACGGAAATCTCATTGAACATCTGTGCTTTTTATTAAACAGAAGTTAAATGGTCTTCAAATGCTTTTTTTTTGTAATATTTGTAGTCCTATAGGAAAAGTTGTTGCATCATTTGGCACCTAGTCTGATTTTATCAGAAATGTAGGCTACTTCTCCAAGTAAGATTATGAGAATGAAGGCTTGAAAAAAGAAAGTGTACATATTTTAAATGTGCCTATGGATGGTTTTTCGATCCCCTTAATGTGATTGTAAGATAATGTAATAGATCCCACTTATTCTACCATAACTTTAATGTGTGTCTGTCTGTCTGTCTGTCTGTCTGTCTGTCTGTGTAGCTCTCCTCAGTGTGTAGGTTGTGTTCAGAGTGGCAGACAGAGATCCTGAAACACCACAGACAGAGAGACGTCACAGTGAACTGGGACAACTGTTTCCCTCCACACTGGAGAACAGACCACTGGGAACTGGCCAAGGTAACCCCCCCCCACACACACACACACACACACACACACACACACACACACACACACACACACACACCTGCACACTAACTTCACTGAACCTTAATCTGCTATGACATGAAATAACATCATCAGGCCTTTACTAGATCTCATATGATGCAAGAGAACAGTCACACTTCAATGAGGGTGGACAAGTTGCAGTTACTACAGCTTTTACATCACAAGAATAATGGAGGATTAACCAAGATGATCGGGATGATCTTGTTTTCATGATTGTAGGAAGCCAAAATCTTAATTGAAAATTAAACTCCATTAATTTTCCAGCACTGGTCACAACTGATCAATGTATTATACAAATATTATTATGAATATCTATGGTAACTATATCGTGACGTAATGGAAAAATATGAAAGACTTCAAGGTTTTCAAAAGGATTTTACAATTTGATGATAATTGATTCGATTTAATGACAGTCTCTCTCTCTCTCTCTCTCTCTCTCTCTCTCTCTCTCTCTCTCTCTCTCTCTCTCTCCCCTGCAGGCCTACATGCCTCGGGGTCAGGGCAAAGTGAAGGGGGCAGATCAATGTGATGCCTCTGCTCTGCTTAACCTCATCAACTACTGTGATCATTTCCAGTCTGTGGATCATAAATGTGTGAGAGAGGTAAAATTCATTGTGTTAAAAAAGAAAAGCTGGACAACTTTGGACAATTTACAATTACAATTTCTACATTTTACATTTTTTATTTTACTTTTTTTCTTTCTTCTCTTTAAAAAAAGTTAAATCAGAACAAAGTGTGTTTTTCATGCTAATTTAACAATACTTTTAGTCTATCTTGAACCAAGATTGACTGTCTTTACGTCTATTATCTGAAAGGAAGTGTAGGCATTTTTAATGCACCAGTTTAATCCTCATATTAAATCTCTTCACATTGACAGCCATCAATTAAAAAACTTTTTTTTAAACATCCAGTGTCTGTGGTTTGAGCAGGACAGTAATAAGTCTATCCAATGATCTCATTCTGACAGATTTAAAGGTCACATATTTAGCAAAATAAACTTCATTGTGTTTATCTAACACCAATATGTTTCTCTAGCCAGTCTACAATACCACCAATGATGAGAAAAGTGCATCCTCTCCGTCTTTTGCCTGCTCCACTTATCAGAAAATGTGTGCTCAAACAGGTCGTTTGGAGATTGTCCCTTTGTGACATCACAAAGGACAGTAACCCCTCCCACAGCTAGGTGGATGTTCTGACCTCTGAGTCTGCCTTCTCACCATAAACAATAGGGCATTTAGGGGTTTATAGGCATGATGAAATACAGGATCAGAGTGGATTTATAACAAGAAACTTCACGGACATGTTTTGGTAAGCTCTGAGGCTCATTTCAACTTGTTGAAAAGGAGGAGAATATGTGACCTTTAACTATTGAAAGTTGGCTTAGGTTAGTTTTGAGTAGCAGTATTGTCCCTCTATTTATAAAGTGCTTATTGGGGTGTTAGATGGCGTAGCGAGTGGTTCTGTTAAATGCCCCATATACTTCTTTCTCCAGGCGAGCTGCCCAGGTTCAACTCTGAAATGCGGCTCCTTTCCCGCATGTCACTCCCAACTCTCTCATCCTTGTTTCCGGCACTAACCACTGTCCAATCAATAAAGGCTGAAAGAACCAAAATAAACTCTCAAAAAAAGAAAAAAACTTAATTCAGATAGAAAGAGTAGTCATAATAGTCACTTTCCTACATGTGTTCCACTGCTTGTTACACAACCGAGGACACGCAGCAACAAGTTTCAGGTTACATAATTTACATATTAAGCAATACTACAGGTCTTTAGTAAAACTGCAGTGTAGATAGTAATGCACCATATTCAGGCACACCTATTTGTGAGAGCAAATTAGAGATGACAAAACAATCTTTTAAATAATTCCATGAGTTTAAACAATACCTTTGCAACCAGAAATGTACTATGTGCTCAGAGAAGTTGAACCAGAAGAAGAGGACTTGACAAAATGAAGAGTGGACCGAGTGCTGTAGAGCTCTTTAACAGGCCCTCGAACTGTCTTTCTCATAGACTGATTCATAGATAACATGGAATCAGGTGGATATGTAATGATGAACTGTGTGTGTGTGTGTGTGTTTGTGGTTCCAGGTGATCCGTCACAGGAACGAGTTGATGCATTCTTGTGAGTTGGGTGTTAAAGACGAGTGGATGAGGCACTATCAGACTGCTCTGAGAAACCTCCTGCTTCAGTTCAGACACGTCCCACAGATGGCAACAGCTGGACGACACATCGAGGAGGTGAGCGCGTGTGAGTCTGTGTGTGTGTGTGTATCTTTGTGTGTTTGTGTGAGTGTGTCTCTAGTTTCAGCTGCTGCAGTATGTGTCACAGTTTGGTTGCCTTTGTGTTTTTTTTTTTGTCCAGATGCTGACCGTTGATTTGTCCATATGGGTCTCTGGTTTGGACTGTTTGGATTCTGATAGCCTGGATGATTAGAGACTGATACTGTCAGCCAATGGGTGACCAACGCTGACTTAATCAGCCAATGGGAGGCTGAGCTGCTACAAGAGAGGCTAGAGGAGCTCCTACATGCTGATGACGACACAAAGGCACAGGTGAGAAGAATAACTAAGATAAGCATGTGCTCTAACACATCCAAAGAAAGATGACTTTGACTGAGTCTGTGTTTCCTCCTCAGGACTCTGAGCAGTTGAAGAGTCTGGCTGGTTTCCTGCAGGCCAACAGAGATCTGGGTGCAAGGTTTTCTGCAGAGCTCCAAACCATCGGCTCTCTGGAGGAAAGACACTAAGAAGAATAAAGATGTGGAGAGGAGCATGAAGATTAAATTGTGCACTTTCTTTATGTAAAGTATTTTAAGATGTAGTGTAGACAATTTATTTTAGATGAACTTTTTATTTAACCAAAAATCCAGGATTTAAGTCACAGCGGGATGTAATACTCAGTCTGGGGGGGGGGGGGGGGGCAAACTTAGAGTTTCGTACAGGAGCTTTAATAAAGCAGTTTTCTCACAATACTTTTTTGTACTTGACTAAAACTTTTTAATGTTTTATAATGTAAACATTTCTGAAAGCAGGATGTTTTTTTTTGTGTGTGATGAGGTGAGTGTGTGGTCTGGCTGGCTGGTGGTTTGTGTGTGTCTGAACCCCCAGTAAGAACAAAAATCTGAGCTGTTGACCTGTTCTTGTTTTTTTTTAGTTTATCAGAATTACTATATGTACAGGTGTCATCAATGTCTGGAGTGTGCCCAATATATTGTAGAAATACACATTATAGATAGACACTTCAGAATTCAAATATGTCATTCCAGGTCGGATATTTGATTTGATTTCATAATGCAGTGTAGCTAAACATCCTTTCTACCCACACAGGGGTTATCAGAGGGCAAAAGCAGTTGTAAGGGGGCCTTAAAGAGGGAACGGGGAATTCGTGACATTTTGTGAGGTAATTTCTTTTGTTTTGTTGCGTTCAAATCAGAATCCAAATTCAAGAGGAGACATTTCACCGAGGTAAAACCATACTTTCACTTCTCATAGATAAAGGCCATTATGCAAGTTTATAGACGGGTTGCGTGACAACGAGCTGCAGCTGCAAAAAAAAAAGTGTGAAAACCAAGATAGAGGTGCTTTTCCTGCCTCACTGTCTCACTCCCTTTTCTGCTACAAACGGGCTGCAGTCTCATACACCCATTTATCGGTGCCTGCCTCCGAGCTAACATGGAGAACGAGGGGATGTTTGTCAGCTCGATTTACTACGGGAGGATCGGAAGCGGGGCCACGGAGAGTCTGCTGGAGAGGTTCGGACACGACGGCAGCTTTCTGATCAGAGACAGTGAGACGGTGCAGGGGGCCTTCTGTCTGTGTGTGAGGTGAGCTGTGAGGACAAATATCACCAAATATGATGGTTCAAATGACTCCTTCATACAGGCAGAGTCCAAATAAATACTGGAGCACACATCACTTCAGGCAATTTCTTAAGGTGCAAAGCACTAACCCGTCCACTCTGAGTGCCTTAATTCATGCGCTCCAGTATTTTCCGTGGATTCTGCATGTGTGAAGGAATCCATTGAATCATCTTTTCAACGTCTAAGGTCCTTTTCTGAGATTTTCTTCAGATTCTCAAGCTGTAAATCAATCTGTGATTATTACACTGACTTTTATACAGTACAGCACAATCTACAAGATAAGAACAAATAGTTAAAAGTTCTGATTTAGAAAACAGTTATCTCATTAAATCAACATGAGTTTTGTAAAAAGTTGAAACAATACTTTATTAGTCATTAACAGTCAATCACTCAACTTTGAACAAACTGTATAAATATAACCACAATACTCTGAATGCTTTATAATCAAACTCAGAGTTATTATATATATTCCTTTAAAAACGGTTTTATATTTTACATTATGTGAAAACCTGGAGCTTTATGCTTTATTTTATAAAGAAGAGGAGAGGTAAGGACAGTAGATAAAGGTCCTGCACTAAAAATCTGAAGTAGAAATAAGTGCATGCTGCTTATTTTATTTAAAATAATACACTTAATAAACTGATTGAACCTTTGGCAAACAAAATCCTGATCAGAACCATATAATTTATAATCTAAAGGTTGAATGTTAAATAAAATGGAAATTTGTATTTGAGTAAAAGTAAATCAAAGAAACTTTATTTATGAATCACCTTTCATACAGAGAGCCATTCAAAGTGCTTTACACTTTAAGTGTTAAAAACTGAACATTAAGAACACCAAAGCATAGAAAGAAATATGACAGAACAAAATAGGATTTTCAATTGTAAATATTTTAAGATGTGCTGAATTTAGACGATTACTGATCTGTATCTCCTCTGCATGCTTAACAATGTTTTACTGCTCTGAAGTCTCTGACTACAGAGATGTACATTCCTCGACGATCAAAGACTCACAGACTGGTCTTGCCTTAATCTCTATTGATGGATATAAAAATCCATAACAACAAGCAGAACAATCCGAGGAGGATTTACACAGCCATGAGCTGCCCAACAAACCTACTGCGCCAGTGTTACATCGCATCACTTTACCTATTGTGATTTCTTCGATCATAAAATATAAGATCAAAAACAAAAATTTAGCTTAATAAATAAAATAATAAAAACAGAATAAAAATAAATTAATTCATACATAAGATCAATTCAAAGGTAAATATAAAGTGATTCAATTCAAAGATTGAAGTTAAAGCCGGTGAGAAGTGATTGAAATTATGGGAGGGCAGCGGTAAATAAAAAACAATTAAGACTGTTTTGAAAGAGCTGACATGTATATGTATGTAATGTGACCAAACTCAAGTCAAAATGTTCATAGTTCAAACTTTAAAGCATTCATAATAACTCTTTAAACAGAACCAAGAAAGAGAAACACAATCTAAAGGCTGTTTATGAAAAGAAAATGAAAAATGGTGAACAATCTCCCAAGGATGATATGATTTATCTCTACAAATAAAAGGATCATTGACCCTGATCACAAAGAATCCTTCATGTTCAGATTATGAAGGAGTCAGTGAGTTTCGTTTCATCCCCGGTGTTAAACACACGACTGAAATCAGTCACCATCTATCACACATGCAGGCACTCTCTCTTGTAGATTTAATCATCGATCTGGAACATGTGCATACACGTGTACTGATTCAGATTTCACAACCACAGAAAATCATTCAAATGTCTAAACTTTGTGTTCTCCAGAAAAGCACCGTATGTGCACACCTACAGGCTTGTTCAGTCCTCTGTCGGCTGGTTTCTTCAACTTCAGGTGGGTGAGCGGCCTCTGCATGCAGTCGAAATGGACACACACACACTAAGTGGCAAACACTTGAATTTATGGTGTGTGTGTGCGCGCATGTGTTTGTGTGATTATCAGGATTCAGGAGTCAGACAGCAGACTTTCGGGACTCTGGAAACACTGATCGAGAGCTACAGACGAGCTGTCTGTGACGTCAATATAGTTCCTCTCACAGAGCCACTGGACAAAACACAGATACAGAACATCAGCTCTGGACAAGGTACTACACACACACACACACACACACACACACACTCATACACCCCAAAACATTAATTTAGGAGGAATATTGATTTAGCTTTGTAGGGGAGGCTGGGGACAGCTGCAACACTTTTTCTCTTTTGTTTACTCAAATAATAATAATTAACAAATTACTGAATTTATATTTATTCAACTTTGACCTCTCGGTTGATTACCAATACGTTACCATTTAGAAGTGGTTGAATGTGAGACATTAAAGGTCACATATTATTCTCCTTTTAAACCACTTTAAATAAGTCTCAGAGCTCCCAAAAACTGTGAAATTTCTTGTTCTAAATCCACTCTGATCCTGTATGTGATCATGTCTATAAAGTCCTCTATTTCAGCCCTTCTCAGAACAGGCTGTTTCTGTGTCTGTAGCTTTAAATGCAAATGAGCTGTTTCTGAGCACACATTTTCTGAAAAAAGTAGGACTTTTTAGTGTTTAAAAACATGGTGAAGTGTATTTTACATAATATGTGACCTTTAATCATCGCTTCATGAAACAGAAGAGAACTCTGATCATGGTATTGACATTCACCTCGTTGTGAAGTATGAGTATTTGAGTATTTGTTTATTAACTGCACTTCATGTCATTATTTAAATATTGAACAGTGAAAGCACATATTGAACTTTTTATTTTACATTTTATTTCTATTTTTCAAATCTCAAAAAAGCAATTTATTAACTTAGTTTTTTTATTTAATTCCTATTCAACAAACCTTGATGAAACATTTGTTTAATAAATGAGCTCATGTTCCCCACACTGACAGAACATCTTGAGCTAACGAGAAACACGTATTAGGACACAAGATAAACATTTTACTTTGATGGATATGAAAATCACAAAAAATAAGTGAGTGTGAAAGCCTCTAAAATTATTATTTTTAATTAATGCAAATTAAATATTAAATAAATAAAGACTTTGTCTATCACTTGGGATGACGGTCAAACTGAGCATGTGCAGAATCATTGTCATCTCATCAGCATGTTCATGATTATGACCCTTTTCACACACGCACTAATGAACATGTTCAGAAAAATTTCTGGACATGCTCCCCCTGACATCTTCCTGAGTTGCTCTTTCACACATGTGAAGAGAGGGGGTATCAAAAAGCATGTCTTGACGTTAAAGATGCTGCAGAAGTAACAGCCTAATGTGTGCAACATATCCAAAAGCAATAGAGTCAGACGCTATGCTGACATTGTTTTAGTCTCAAAAAATGCTACTTATGATTAGACGTATTTACGGTTTCATTAAATGAGTGGAAAAGAGCATGAAGCATCTTCATATTGTGTACAAAGATCCCAACGGACGTGCTGCGATCACAAGATGCAAACGCTTAAGTTTCCACCTGTCAGTCATTTCCTGAATATTGACTGGCAGGAAAAATTCAGGGTCAAGTCGGGATGAAGAATTTGGCGGTTTGTATACGCTGAAATATCAGGACGTTTTGTGCATGTGTGAAAGGCTTTTGCTGTTGCAACACTCCCCAGTCTCCCCGACAGTGAAACCTGTCACACAGATACTCAGACAGGTGAATTCAGTGTTTGTTTGTTTGTTGTCATTTGTGGTGCATCGAAGAGCCGACTGTGAACTGTGTGTCGAGACTATGACCTGCTGTCTGAACTCTAACACAGTGTGTCGTCCTCAGAGTTTCTTTACATGGAAACGTGCAGCAGCAGCAACTCCGTCTGCTGAAGCCACAAAACAAGATGGCCGAAACATAAAGAGCATGACACATCAAGGATCTGACTGACTGTCCTGTTCCTTTCTTCTTGCATGGCATGGACCTAATTACTTCTCTTTTTTTTTAATCACATTGGGTGCATTGATTGTCTTTATTATGAAAAATGTCACTGTGGGTTTAAACTTTATCAAGGTAATGTCGATTTATAAAAAAGACAAAAACAAGTTGTTGCAATGTTTTGTCTTTTTTTAATTTGGTGTCAGAGTGAGTGTGGCATATGCAGTGTGAATATGTCACACACTATCTCTGTGTGTGGTTTCACGATGTCAAACCTCATGTGAAAAAGAAACATCTGGGGCGCGCTGGTGGCGCATGTGTTGAGACTCTCGTCTCGAGCGGCAGGCCCAGGTTCGCTTCCACCCTGCATTAAAGGCACGAAAAGCCCAAAATAAATCTTAAAAAAAAGAAAGATCCTTTTACAAATATGGTCGTGGCTGATGTGTTTTTAACACCTTGAATCATGCAGGTTGTCTGTTTTGGGGAAGCCACAGTGATGTATCTGATCTTTCTGACTCACACTTATCTGTCGCTCTGTAGACAAAAAACAGACCTGCAGGAAGTTGAAACATCTATTGTGGGCCAACTCCTTTCCACATGTGGCTTATAGTGTATTTGTTTTTGCAACACAAAGTCTCCCACCTCAGGGGTCGTTTGTGTTTATTCAATATGAGACGATGAGTGAAACTGTGACATGTTTCTCTGTAGGTCCATCCTGACTGTTTAAATGGAGAGCTGTGAACGTTGAACCTTGCTCACGTTTGGTCATTTTTAACACATTTTCAAACACGACTGTACTTGTGTTATTCTTGAAACCTGAGCTTGTTGTTGTATGAGTATCTGCATAGTTTTCCAATCAAAATACATCGTGTAAGATATCTTAATAAAGTTAACATGCATCTTTAGCCGACATCAGGAGGCTGACAGGAAGTGTCATTTTATGTCCTCACTCACAGTGATGTGATTACTATCAGTATGCTTCAACAAAGCAGATATCACTCTTGCTATTGTATTTTTCGGTATTTATTACAGTAGATCTGCTTGATTTTGCTTTAATATTAAATTAGAAAAATGAAAATGTATAACATCTGCTGCTCTGTAGCTGTGTTACGACCAGCCTAGGGAAAACCCCTACAACCTACCCAGGACTGCATAACGTAATAAAAATAATCTCAATTTAAACAAGACACAATTTCTCTCTCTCAAAATCGAACACATCTATCTTTGGAGGTGAGGAAGAAGAGGGGCAGCGTTCAGCTTCCGCAGCTCCCTTTTAAAACTGGTGCCCTCAAGTATCCTCCAAATATGGCATGCGCCCGCAGCAACAGCTTCCATCCAATCACTGACCAGCGCACACACCGCCATCCATTTTCCAATCGAACTCAGCACAAAGACAGACGTGTGCAGCAACAAGAAAAAGAGCACAAAGCCCAGGTAGATCCAACAACAACACACTTTACACATACAGTCATAACAGTCTGTTAACCTTTCAGGCCGACTGATAAGGTCTGACTTAGCTCTACGAAACAACTGAAACACATTAAAATATGGTTGATCATTAACTTCAATATTACATCAAGGAATGATTTTACACGAGTGGGGATTGGCCTTGTCTTGTGCTGACCTCAGCGTATATCTGTAAAGCTTCTCTGAGAAAACTGTCTTTCTACCCTGGAAACGTCAATTTTTAAAGCTTTGCTCAAATCTGAAGCAGAATTTGGACTCAGATCACCAAATTTCTTTCGAGATATTCAAATGCTAATAAGGTTAAATGCCATAAAGGATGTTCATAAAATGCCCTTAAGACAAGAGATAACAAAGTGCTTTGACAAACAAGTCAATCAAGAAACGACAAAAGAATCCAAACAACGTGACCAGACACATCAAGATAATACCAACGGACAGTGAAGTGAAACCAAGAAGACAAACATGTAAAATGCTGCAGAGTATAATCAGAGTACAGAGAGTAAAAGCAATGAAAGCAAGTGTAAGTAAAATAGTGGAAAAAGATAGATTAAAAAGGAATATTGATAAAATACTATCATCTTATCTCTCCTTTAGTTAGGAATAAGTAGCTTGATGCTCTGAGTGTCTCGGGCACACCAACATGACTACATGAAGATCAAGGCTATAACAGACTCCTCCATTATCTCTTATCTGAATCCAATGTTCACCTTTCAAAGAATGATTCAACTTTTTAATATACTTTTATGGGGTTTTTATGTCTTAAAGGAGAAGACAGATTTTTAAAAGTGTCTCTATACATTAAATATTTGACTTCAGCCTGCAGTGGAGTAGCTTAGCATAAAGGCAACAGAGGGAAACAATAGCCAAGCTGTGACTGAAGAATACAGCTCTAAGTTTCTTAGTCTAAAAGATGCAGTGCAATTTTCTCTCTTTGAAGCCCATGTCTGTATGAGTGTTTACAACACAAATGAAAAAGACTAGAAACCTATCCTCCAGGCCACCAACAACATCGGATAATAACTTCATCACAAACTCCTTCACATAACTCCATCACATAATGACTTCATCACAAACTTCATCACATACTAACATCACATAATAACTACATCACAAACTTCATGACATGGTCTTGATGCTAAGCTAAGCTAACTGTCTGTCTGCAGGAGATAAATGAAATCAGCATATAAATAGTATTAGTTTTGTTCTCTAAATGGAAAAATAAAATGTCTGTTGATCTCGTTTCTCAAATTCTATTCAGTGTTTTAGTCCTTACATTTTTTGTTGTTGTCATTTTTACATTTGTCGAAATACTTGAGATTTTTCTTTTTTATTGTCCTTTGCACACAAAGTGGACCTCTAAGTGGATCACGCTGTGTGAATAAAGCATGTATGAATGAACTTCTTGTAAATAAAAGCGTGGGATAAAAAAAACTGTATTCCTCTTTTTTTATTACACACAGAAAAAGGTATACACATTTTAAAGAAGCACAAAATCTACTCGTCTGAGTGGATCAGGGTGTAAAACTGTATTTCATTAAAATACATTGCATGACTTAGTTAGCAGAGAAAATCCTCACTTATAGCATATGTCAAGAGACATAACACTACAATTTATACACAGATACACACCTTGTTAAACACACTTTGAAAGCCTTTTACATGCACTCTGTGAGTCGGTTACATACACTGAAAGATTTACTCATAGTCCACTACACAGCTCCTACAATGCACCTTTTGTACATTTTGTGTTTTATTTTTTATATTTTATAGTTCACATTTTTAAATTGTATTCTATGTATTTTAATAGCTTCTCATACTGTATTATTTAAGTTGTTGCTAGTTCTAGTTCAAGTCAAATTCCTTATATGTGTAAATGTACTTGGCAATAAACCCCGATTCTGATTCTGATTCTGATATGTCACGAGACATAACACTACAGTTTATACACAAATACACAGCTTGATAAACACACTTTGAAACTTTTGCATTTTATGCAAATTTATAAAATCTGATAGAATTGGGCCTAACTGTGCAGCGATTTCGAGGTTTGTATTTTATCTAAATATGTCGCTCACATGTACTGTTTTTAAAAGTCTACCCAGAGTTTTGCTCCATGTCCTCCACCTCTGTGATTTCCTCCACAGGCTCAGCTGACGGGGCAGGGTGAAAGAACTGTAAGCACAACACAAAACGTGAACACTTTGGCAGCAGTTGTAAACAAGTGTAGTGTAGTGTCTTGAGTGGTAGATATGTGTGCAGTTTTTCGGCATGCTTACATTGAATGTGTCGCTTTTCTCCAGGAAACCTTTGTACTTCTCCGGGGGGCGGGGAATCGAAGGAAACAGGACCTCAGACACTCTGCAACGACAAACAGACGCACAGTGGGCAACAATGTCAGCACATTTTAAACCCATGGTGCTGCTTTTTTTTTTTGCATTGGATACAAAAAATATGTGTGATAATTTAGTCCTGAAACGACAAGAAAGTGAAAGAGGAAAGAGTGCATAAGAAAAGTGTGTGCTTCTTTTGTATTTCTCTGCACTTTGGGTCCTAGTTTGTGTTTATTTTAAAAGTCATACAGGAGCTTTTTTTGTCTGCACCTTAAGGAAGTTAAGGGTGGATGTTTTATGGTGACCTTAAAGAAAAAAAGACACCAACACAACCACTGAAAAACCTTCTCACTTCTCTTTTCTGCACTTTATATTTGCATGTTAACGCTCCTTTCTGCCATCAGGCCAACTTTTATAAGACAGTGTGTGTTGCCAGGTAAGAAACAGCTCATTGAGAAGGATTGAAATTGTGTGATAGGTAAAAGAAAGGCAGTGAATTCTACAAAAGCAGTACCTCTGATGGCGCACCAAGAGCAGCAAAGCAAGGAGGATCATGGGTATTCCGAGTGACATTGAGATGATGATAAGAAGGCTGAGTTTGTTTGTTTGTTCCACCGCTACAAGCAAACAAACACAAACATAAAGATGCTGCTTAAATCACTAAGGTCAATGTACTAATTTAATGAAAGAGTCTATTTAATGTTGAAAAGTTAACGGCTGCTGGTTAAGCCATGTTTGAAATGTTTTCAACAAACTGCACTCACTGACGGTGTGACTCCAGTCACCCCAGGGAGAGTTTAATGTGCAATAGTTGTACCGTCTCGCCCTCATCCTCACCCTGTAGGTGAGGCCTGGATCTGCATTCGGCTCCGTGTGAGACAACTGATTGTGCAGGCTTATTGGTTTTTCCTGTTTAAAAAAGATTCATCAGCAAACACTCAGAAGGTTGAGATTTACTTTCTTTGTAAATGGTAAACGCCTTTCTATGTGTAGGTGTGACCTGCGATGTCAAAGCACTTTGAGTAGTCGGAAGACTAAAAAATGGCTATATATATACTGTTCTTGTTTAATTTTATTCATTTGATTTGAAAAATGTTCAGCTGCAGGAGGATTTCAGTCCGTGGGAGCTGGTCTCTTTAAATCTTTTTAAAAGTAGATAAAGGGTGTTGGACGATGATGAATCCTGTTGTTGATGCTTTGTTTAATGACTTCCTGCTCAGTGACTCACAGGATATGTCGACTTGTGTTTTGTAATTTATTTATGAGCTCTGCACAAATATGCTGCCGCCTGTTAGGCCAGGACACTCTTCTAAAAACAATTCTTTATTTCAATTACTTTTTTTCCTGGTTAAATCAACTTTAAGCTAAATAAATAAAAGTCTAAAAGTCCATGTACTGCACCCTGGAAAGTTTCCCCACTAGTCAGGGTAGGTATGGCATTCTCCTACAGGAGCCACCCAGGTGACCCACTCACCTAAGCTTAACAGATTTTAGATTATGTGTGAAACAGATAGTCTCTCACTGTGAGATGTAAGAAGTGATTCTGGAACAAATGACAGGAGGAGGTTCATGTGTGAAAGGGGCTCGGCTCTACCTGGTCTCCCACGACCAACTCGAATTCAGAGCAGTGGAGGTTAAGATTTGTCCGGCTTTTAGGCTTACTCCATGTCACCACCAAGCCTCCATCTTTGATTGATGCAGAGATGTTTTCTGGTGGGGGCAATACCTCTAAAACACATATACAACAGTAAATGAATCAAGGGTTGTTAACATTTCATTCAGAAGGTATTTATTGAGTCATAGTAGCAGCTTTGGGTAAATCTCAGCATCTACTTTTAGTAATGGCCCAATATTTTGAACAGACAGAATTTTCAAGCTATTAAGAACCCTCTGAAAAAGACGAAGTCAATATAACTGTGATGATCACTTAAGTGTTTCTCAGCCATCCCGCAAAGCTTTCCTATCCTCTTATCCACATATCTGTTTAAATACTTTGAGTAAATCTTCATTGGTGTAAGTGATGGAAACAAGGATTGAATTATGGTGGATGTGTTCCTTCCCTTTTGGTCTCCACTAGGACTTCATCAGTCATAAATCTGATGCCTACTGATTCATATAGTGGACGATATCCTACTTCAGGCCTAACGGTTGGACAGGGAGGGGTTAACTTGTAAAAAAAAAAAAAAAACATGAATGAAAGATGTTTGCGCCTGTGAGTGGAACATAAACAAGCTGAAGGAAAGTGTGGCCCGTCAAGATTCAATCACTCAATCTGCTGGGAGGTTGCAGTCTCAAGATTCAAGATTTTTATTTGTCACATGCTCATACAGATGTGCAGTGAAATGTAAAGTCTTAGCCATTATGCCACCGTGCAGCTTGTCAGTGTCTGCTTTTTTCTTTTCATTTCAGGACATAAGAATAGTTCAAAATCATCTTTGATGGAAGAAACCCAGATCACTTCATCTTACCACTGGTTGGGCTTAACCAAGGTTTGATCACTCGACCTCTAGGATGGTAGACAGCAGTAACCAAGGTTTGTCCTTTTCATTTCAGAACATTAAGTTAGTTTAAAATCATCTCCAATGGGAGAAACCCAGATCTACACTAGATGGCCTCAACCAATATTTGATGACTAAACGTCCTGGCTGGTAGGTGGCCGTCTTAGCCACTACGCCCCTGTGTAGCCTGTAAGTGCATGTTCTTTTAGAGGCTTTGACCTTTTCATTTTACAACATTAGGGAAGTTTAAACATTTACACATCAAGGGTGTTTGTGTTGTAGTCTTACCTAGCATTTCCATGTCGTATGTTTTGGTGTAGACCGTCCACTTGTCATGCAGGGATACGTTAAACTGGATGATGACATTTAACGTATTTTGTTCCAACACAGTTCTCCACATTGAGCCAAATCTCTCCTCAGAGGAACAGTTTAGAAAGTGAACTCTTTCGACATCATCACAAATACTGCAGAAATAGACAGAGGGACAAATACATGCATCAAACATGTATATATTATTGTGTATCGGCTTTGTAAATATGAATCAATATCATCAAAACCTTGATGTGTGATTTTGATTAATACCTCATATATACAGAAAGCTGAGTGTCCTTCTTTAAAGTGGGAAACCACCAGGAACAGTTGAGTATATTTGTTGGGTGAAGGAGGCAGGAGATGTTTTGGTCCATTTTTGCAGCCACCTCAAAATATTGGCCCAGCTCTGACCAACTCTGTGGAAACAGCTGAAAATGTCATACATTGAAGATTTAGACTGAATCTGAATTTAAGTTTAAAACAACATGTTGATTCTTACATTTATTGATGTATTCATTTTAAATATAGGAACAGTGCACATTAATGAACATAAAAATGTAAATATGCCAGATTATCGCCACAGGCTAATTTTCATTTGTAGTCTTTTGGCAGGTTGGTGGTAAACAGGAAAACAAGTTACATAAAACCAATGACAAGTAAAAACCAATGCAACAAGTAATGACAAAAGAAAAACATACTGTACATTAGTAGACAGAGACACATAAATAAACCAGTCCAAAGAGTGGCTGTTTGATTTTGTTCAGAACAAACCAGTATAAAGTGACCATCAGAGTTAAAAGTGCTTAAAATGCATAAAGTGCTTAAGGTGCTGCTAAGGGAGGTAAAGTGTCGGACATTCTTACATAATCATCATCAATTTCTTCCTGACAGACATCTGTGTTGTTGGCCTCCAGCACTGTTAAAAGAGAACACATATCTACAGTTGAAGCTCAAAGGAAAACACAATGGAAATAAACTTTAGTCTGCAGCAGTATTGGGGAAGTGTCGTTGAAAGTAAAGCTTTGAAAACATCAATTATTGGTTCTGTTAACCAAGGCAAAAAAAATATAATTTTAATTGTCTTTGTAAAGAAAGGGATCAATTGGACATTGCACATGTGATAGAAATGTATAACAAAACATAGTACAAAACAATTTGTGTTACAGAAAATTTGGTATCTAACAAGCGGCAACCTCCAGTGTCAAAAAAAGAAGCAAATGAGCAAAAAACTGCAGTTCCTGGAGTGTCCACTTGAGGCAGGTTGCAAAAGCCCCAGAATCACATACACACCGAAATAAATACGTTTACAGCCTGGTTAAAAAAACGAATTTGGTCTGAGTTAATTTACTGATCAGCACATACTGAACAGGAGGGACATTTTTATATAACTTATATTTTTTAATTTGATAAAAGATGGGTGTGACTGATCTAGCTGATGGGTGACTAAGTTGTAGCTGTTGGTCAGGAGGCTTAATAGCCTAGTGACTAACTGTCAAGAAGGGCTTTAGTTACAACTCAAGTTTGAAAGCCTTCTGAGCTTGTATTATCAATCTACATATGTCTCAGCTCCTATACAGCCAGGCAATATTTTGGTTATTTTTTAGTTTTGGGGTGTATTACAATATCTATAATTTTAACCATTTGTGCAGTAAAATATTTTTATACAAGAATCCATTTCATATGGTAGACCTTAGAGATGAGGAAAAACATTGTTGTGTTTTGTTTTACCTCCGGTAGGGGTATCTCACAGTTTTAGAGGCATTGTCACTAGCCTATAAGGCCCGCCTCAACTCAAGTGCTTTGCCTGCTTTGCCAGCATTTCCAATATGGTGACTGCCACAAATGGGCTTCAAAAGTACCATTCAGAAACTGATGGGTGACGTCACTGAGGCTACGTCCATCTTTATAGACAGTCTATGTTTTCTAAATGATAACATGTCATAAATAAACTTCAGAAATGAAATGCAGTTTCAAAGAAGTTGCACATTCCCTACTCTTAACTGATCAACATTTCAGGGATAGTTTACCTTATCAGATATGAAGCTGTTTCCTTTAAAGCTGTACAAAAGAAAGAGGAACTCAAACTGCAACCCTGCCCTGATAAATTGCTAGAATGGATGAACAAGTTAAGATAGTTGTTTTCATTTTTAAAACCCGGGAATCACGGCGAAAGTAACTCACCAGTGTTTGAGGACCACAAAACCAGCAAACCAAACCAAAGTACTGGAAGGACTGGAAACATCTTCATAGCCAGCCTAGAGGTTTCACACACAGACAGAGAAACATAAACACTCACGCACACAGTCAGACAAACTGGGGGTGTCAAGAAGATGTTGCGTCTTTCCACACTTAGTAATTTCCTTTAGAGTTCATACTTCCCCTTTTTAAATGCATACATGTGGACTCTGACTTCTGGTAAGACTTCTGAGTTGGCATATAATCCAAAACAAACGTTTCTTGTATGAGGGTTAATTCTGCTCATACTTTATTGTGAGTTTACATATTTCATATTAGAAAGTTGTTACATTCACCACAAGAAACAAATATAAAAAACAAGTTAGCAATTATTGGTTTTGTTTGCTCTAACTCCAAAATTGATCAATAAATGAACACACATGATGAGCTACTCAAGAATCTTTCCTTAAAGACATCATCAATTCCTCCTATAGAATCTAAAATACCATTATTACTGGTTAAAGTATTAACAAGAAGCTGTTACCTCCTGCTGTCCCTCCACTACGTCGGTAATGACAAAGACATTTAAGGGGAAAGAAGAATCATGACGTCACATACAAAGAGCTTCAGGAAACCATGTTTTCTTCCTGTTTCTTAATTTAACATGTCTCACATATACACGAAACACAAGGTGAGAAGATTTTAAACTCTCTTTGTTTAGCTTTTGTGACTACAGCTAAAGTAATGTTTGATGGTAATACAGTTTAGGTAAAATTGACTGATTCTTCTTGAAGTTACAACTATTTAAAAAAAACACACAAATTTGCATTTCTTTGCAATAAAACGGGTAAATTCCGTAGTTTTAGTTTGTAAAACTGTAAACTTAAAAAGAAGTTAAATAGCATTGTTAAGGTAACGAAAAATTTGTAAATGAAATTGGTTATTTTTCAAATGTTACCAAAATTTAATTTTAATTTTAATAACAAAGTTTGCCCACAGGGGTCCCCTTTATCCCTGCAGCCAAGAGCCCACAGGGGTCAAAAGGTGATCTCAGCTAGGGGACTCAGCTCAGTCCACAGGTTATCATCACACTGAGCGCAGCTTCATCAAGAACAGACCCAAAAATGGATATAAGTCATAGCCCTACCAGCCACGACCAGCAGTAGAAAGAAAGATTATTGGATGCACCCCTCAATTCATTCAGCCTCAATCTTGCTCAATCCTCAATCAGAGGATAGAGTGTGAAACCATTGACCCGACCTTGTCCATCTCTGACTGAGAAAACAGGAGAAAGTGGGAAAATGCATGAGGAAAGCGCTCCATGTTAGGACAAGATAAGATAAGATTTAAAGAAAAGAATGGTCACATGGTGTACACAGAGCACACAATAGAAGTACAAAGATGCACTCCTGTGTTTGCACACAGTGATTGAGTTTATTAAGCGACGTTGGATATTCCTTCAATTTGTCATCTGTCTGCAGCTTCTGAAAAGATAAAGAAACCATTTCAAATGATCCTTATATCAACAACATCTTCAAATGTTGTGTCTGTTTAAGTTGTACACACACACAGCTCACACTAAATGAGGTACTGATTTGGTGCTCACCTGAAAAGCCATTGACCAAAGCCAAGCTGCTTGAATGTTTGTGCCAAGAGACCCATAATGTCATTCAACATCAATGTTAAAGATGGGTGGAGAGCACGTTTAGAAGCATGAAAGCTGTAATTCAAAATCCAGGTTATTCCACCACCTAATGTTGATTTATAGACCTCAATTAAACATCAATATTCTGTTGAAATGAATATGATTTTGTTTTGGCTGAATTGATTGCAGTGTGACAAATACTACGTATTATGTTATTTTAACTGGTTCTGGTTTTCTGCAAATAAAGCTCTATATGAGAATATTTTATACGAGAGCTGGAAAGTTAGGAGTCTTTATATACTAAATTACTGTTCATGTTATTCAAACTTTAACCTAGAACAAGAGTAAATCCTATTTTCCAGTGGTTTTACATTTTGTATGTAGTCATATAGTCAGTTATTATTATTATTATTTTCAGTTGGTGCAATACCGTGACAAACTGGTGACATATACATGACAAAGGAGGAAGGCTGGGAAATTAATCGATAGTTAATCAAAACCGACAATCAGAACCTCTAACAGACGTAATCTTGCCCATGTAGATTATATCGATTATTTTCAAGGCAGAGTCACTAGACGACACATCCAATCCACGATATGGAAGCAGCATCCGTCGTTTGGACACATTTTGTCTTTAGGTAAGACGACACTGAACAAAAAGAAGTCAAATGTAAACACTGTGGAAAATCTGTTTGCAAGAAATGCAAGATATTTATTTTCTACTGTTTGAGAGAAGTTAATTTCTACTTTAAAACCAAAATGTGTCGTTTTCATTTCAAGCGATGCTTTGATTTCAGTTCCAAATATTCAATTAATAACCTCAAAATAGTTCATCAGATATGAACTCCTTCATTAGAAAACATATCCCAGCTTTAATGGTTGAGCATATTTACAGTAGAGACCATTTCAGTGAACTACGAGGGAAAAAAACAAAAACTAAATAATCGTTCATTAATCGTAATCGAGATAAAATGTTCAATGAATCATGACATTGATTTGAGGTCATATCGCCCAGCCCTACAAATGAGTCACAAAAAACAAACAGAAGGGATCAGACGATACTAAACGGAACAGAAAACAGCGTAGGAGAACAGCAACCACAAAATACAATAATAAAAAACAAAGAAAGAGAAAAATACTGAGACATCAACAGACACACATCAACTGACTACAACCTGCAAAGACATTACAAAACTATACGAAAAATACATAAAAAAGGATACAAGAAGTGAAAGAGAGAAAGAGAGAAAGAGAGAAGAGGAGGGAGAGATGATGCTTTGTAAGGTGGACTTAAGAGGGAGAAGAGAGAATTATTGAAAGTTGTGGTGTGATAGGTGACTGCAGCCGGGGTTTTGGGGCGCTCGAGTCCACTGTTGTTGATTTGAGGGTAGGATGGAGGGAGAGGGCGAAGCTATTATTTTTCTTTGGCCGGGTCATGCAGCAGCAGCCCCCAGACCCTCAGGAGACTCTTGTAGGCAGGATATTGTATAAAAATAAATGATGATGAAAATTTGCAGTTGAATCAATTCTATCCTGTAAAAGAAGTTCCCTGACCGGGAATCGAACCCGGGCCGCGGCGGTGAGAGCGCCGAATCCTAACCACTAGACCACCAGGGACTGTTACGAAACGCGCCTGATAAATCTGTATAAGTAGGTCTACATCACTATAAATCGCCTTCTGTCTGGTACATTTTAGTCGTTTTTAAAAACCATAAATACGTCAGAACAAACTGCCCTTTTGTTTAAGACACGTAGGTTTCCAATTTCGGTGACTCTTTCCTCTTTTGCGCTATTAAAAGTAGGCTTAGGCTATGCTCATTGTGTGCTTGCTCCTGTTGCTCTGGGATCAAGTAGGACTACGCATCTGGATGATGCTGTTTCATATTTTATTTCATTCGGCCGGAATTTATTTCTACTTTCTGAAGCTACTTCTGCTCAGCCAACATGCTTTTCTTCCACTAGGTGGTGTAAACGCTTCAGTCTCCCGCACTCCCATTGTTGTTTGTCTATAGGCTACAGCCTACTTTAGTCTTTTTTTTTTTACACCGTAGCCAGAAGCTGCTCCTATAAACCTATAAAATGATTAGGGGGAATTAATTAAACTTATAGTTACTTTAAATAGCCTACCACAGTTCAGATTTTCCAAGGTGTGGACAAACACCTTCAAAGCCATCTCTGAAAACGAAAGCAGTCTGCCACGCGGTGACGAGCACGACAGGAGCGTTTTAGTTTACTGTACTACCTGTACTACTACCTAACCGTAAGTTACCATGACTTGTTTTAATCACTGTAGTTATGTAGATTTACAGCAAGGCTACAGGTGTTGTCGTTTTCTCACTGTAGACTAAATTGATTATTATCGTAGAAGGATTTTGTTAAACTGGGTTATTCTGTTTGTGTGCATCACTTTGACAGATGTTGCTCTCCGATAACTTGTTAACTTTGTTGTAAAATGTATGTTGTCCTCATAAACTAGGTTAAATCCGACGTGATTGAGTACACTGTATCGCCTATTTAAAGGTTTGTTTTGTTTGTTTTTTGTCGAGAAATGAATACCTGCGACGCGGAAGTGTTTGAAAACTATGGCAGATCTGTGATGATAAAGTAGTCTATCCGAAGTTTATACTTAGCCTAATAAATGTTCAGTGTCCTTATTGTTCTGTAGACTCGGTAGAAGACGTAGGCTGTTTTCATTACTTTAGTACATATGACCTGCAAACAGTGTTTGTCTGTCAAATTTTAAATTGTCCTGCAACAAGTCTCGACAGGGATGCTTTCCTCGGCATAACATCGACAAGATGTCCATTAGCTGAAAAGTATGGACGTCTTCCCTGGAGAATGTAGATCTAGGTCTATTTCAGGGAAAGAGACAGACGAATTAGATCAAGTGTGTTTAAAAAAAGTTTGTCTTTTGTCTTCCTTGCGCTGTATGTTAGTCATAAACTTACCATATTGTCTTAATACAAAATGAATATAGGCCTAGGCCACAAGTCATTTCATGTAGGGTAGCCTATGTTCATGAATGAACTGGTTTAATAAATGATTGTAAACAGGCTTTAAAAGGTTCGTGACCTATGGTTTGACTGATGTAAAGACATTAACTAAGAATGCTGATTAAACAGTATTACTGGAACTACTTCAAAAGTTTGAATTTATCAGGATTTATTGACACCCTTCAGTCAAACTGAATCAAGATTAAACTAAATCATTGTATACACACTGTTCATTAGTTCAAGCAATAAAGATACTGCAATATGTCACCAAAGACTCTCACAGGTTGACTATATAGTTACCGGTCTGTGTCAGATTCTTCTCAACTTTAATGTTTCTATTTTTGTCCCTGTTTCAGATTCATGATGTCAGCCAAAGACACAATGAGACGGAATAAAACACTTCTTCAGTCAACGTTGTGCGGAGATAACGTACTAATCCTCAACAAGGTTTTTGAGAAGAAACTGATCACTGAGCGTGAGTACAACAACCTGAAGAGCATCAACAAAGAAGATGTGGAGGGCCATGTTATAAAGCTGGTGGATAAGATCATGAATAAAGGAGATGAGACATGCCAAGACTTCCTTCACCTACTGCAAACTGACGAAGACATCAAAACCACTTACCCTAAGCTGAAGAACATACAGCTGAGCGTCACCCGCTCGTTACCTCTGCCTATCCAAGCTAGTTCAAGTAATGAAGGAGGTATGTAAACATAGAGATTATGTCGACTGTATTGGATAAATTAGTCCACTGCGTGTCCACATGGTTTTGAAACAGCTTTATTTTGAGAGGTGTAATTCTGTTTCTTTCTGATTTCCTCAGACATGATGCCACCAGAGAGCAAGAGGCCAAAGCAGGTGAGGTCTTAAATGTATTTTAAAATAATGTCTCTATAGGTTACAATGCATTTATAGAGAACATGTTTTCATATCACAGCCTGCAGATACAAGCTAACTAGCTTTTATTAACTAGTCTCAATATTCAAATCCATAATTCAAATTTTCTTTTAAAGCACTGTCATCAATGCCAGTCAGAGTAATTAACTGAACACTATCTCTATGCAGATGACTTTTTATGAAATATTATAAATGTTTTTGTTATTAAATGTGTTTATCAGAGACTGTAGGCCCTACATATTTAAATAGAACTGCAAATATGCCAAAATCAGCCAGAGGGCAAGTTGACAAGGTACCAGACATGTGAAATCGATGAAGAGAATACAACTATAACCAATGGAGTAAATCATCTTAATTACAGTGTGCAGAACACAGAGTATTAACTCTCAAACAAACGGGAACCTGATTCCAAAATGGTGAATTCAAGGAAGCTTTTCAAGGTCTTTTGTCCGCAGCGTCTCAAAAAGTGCAGCTTCAGGCTCCTATAGGACGCTATGCAGCGTCATCATTCAGTGTTTTTTATGCATCAAAAGTGCAAAAACAGGCAAGGCGAGAGAAAAAATATACTGGGAAATCTTTGATCCTGGTTTTGTTTTTAATTAAGATACGTTTAGATCATAAGTTTCTATTAAGTTGGAATATAAACTGTGACACCCCCTAGTATTAAAATATACAATATTAGCTTTGTAATGTTGAAATACCATAAACAATTCAAACTTTGAGAGTAAAACAAAGATTTCCCGTTATTAAAAAAAAAACAAGTAGAAAATGTGTTTTGAAAAAAGGATTGTAAGTTTGTTTTTAGGATGTTTAATAAAGTTCATGAAGTTGGTCTTTATACTACACGTTAGGGCGGGGCGATATGGACCAAAACTCATATCTTGATATTGTTTAGTTGAATGGCGATACTCAATATGTATTTTATTAACAGTGAAAACACATGGAGAATAAACTACCTGTTTGTGAATTTAAAAAGTAATATTATAAAATAAAAATGTTCCTTAAATACAATAAAAGAGAGAGAGAGGAGGAGCAGGGTTAAGAGGGACAGACAGTCAGTCGTCATCATCAGTGAGATGAGAAAAAGGTGAACTGGCACCTCTGTAACGTTATTTTAATGCAACATAAACTATATCGATATTAACGATATTGTCTTACCCTATATCTTGTTTGAAAATATATCGATATATCTTAAAAACTCCATATATTGCACAGCCCTACTACAAGTGTAGCTGGAGCTTTTAACCTCTCCTCGCCTTTCATTCTCCATGCACCTTGGTAGTTTTTGAAGTATTCCCAAACCCCCACTCTGCTTCTACTTTGTTTTTAGGACGATCAATATCAGCTGAACAGCCAACCGAACGGCCTCTGTGTCATAATTAACAATGAGACTTTCATGGATGGTAAAGTGAGAAGGGGAACTAACAATGATGCTGGTATGTTACACATTAGACACATTCATAAGTTACACTTTTGTTCTCTTTGTAAGTCGTTGAAGCCTAACTTTTTTAATGAAACGTCCTGCAGAAAGTCTGGCAAAGGTTTTCAGCTGGCTGAACTTCAGAGTGCTGATGTGTAAAGACCAAACCAAGGACCAGATGGTTCAGACGCTGACGTGCTTTGCTTCTCTGAGAGACCTCTCTCAACTGCAGCAGTTGGACGTGAAGGAGTGGTCCAATGATGTTTTTACTGATCTCCAGGGGGATCCTCAGCACGGCGATGCCTTCATCTGCTGTGTTCTGAGTCACGGAACAAAAGGTGTAGTCTCTGGTATCGATAGCAAGTCCCTTTCTATTCAGGAAACAATTACAACTTTCAAGGCGACAGGGAAATCACCTCTTACTGGAAAGCCCAAAGTGTTCCTGATCCAGGCCTGTCAGGGAAGGCAGATGCAGCGAGGAGTGTTATCAGAAGATCTACAGGCTGATGACTCTCAGTCTCCGTTCATCCCTGAGGATGCAGATTTTTTGGTCGCTCTCGCCACTGTTGAAGACTATAAAGCAATGAGGCACCCAATAGATGGAAGCTGGTTCATTCAGTCTTTGTGTGAGCAGCTGAAGGAGCGCTGCCCGAGGTAATGTTCTAATTTAATGTTCATCCATTAGTGGCCATTTTCCCCAGGTGCTATGCTAAGGTTAGAAAATAAGTGCTGTGACAATGTTAACTACTGTTTAAGTTGTGAGTCATATAAATATCTGTCATTTCACTACTTCTCAATTGATCCTGTTAATTTAACAGATAGAGTCAGTAGCCTTTTCCTTATAAATAAAAGATAGACCTATACATAAGTTAAGCCACTCAATCACCACTCGTCCTCCATACGTGTGTGGTGGTGACAGTGTCTGCAGAGACCCTCTTTGACTGTATTTTTGATGTTATGGTTGTCTCGGGCGGGGGGGTGGGTGTGTTTCCCCCAGCCAATGACAGTGTGCAGGCGAGTTTTGGAGTGGATACAATATCCCTGTATCGCCTATCCCTGGAGCATATCCCAGCTGTCATTGGGTGAGAGTCCCCAGTCAACCACAAGGCTAAATTATCAGCTTTTCCCATTATATTTTGAATGAAATATTTTCAGCTAGCTTGCAGATTAGGTACAAGCAGTAAAGTTACACGCTAACCCTGCATTGGCGTGCACTTCTGGTGTCAATGAGCTGAGGAGGAGGAGCTCAATTTAAATTTTGTGTTTACAAGCTTTATCAAACAAGGCTACTGACTCTACCTTTAACATACAGCAGCAAACAAGACAATATAACTTTTAACTAGACATGGACAGTCAGCAGGTCTGACAATATGATCCTTACCATGATCTATGTACTGTACTCTCAACTGAATTATAATATGGGATAGTAAAATGTGTTTTTTCACTGTTTATGCTCTTAGGGGTGAAGACATCACCACCATCCTGCATCACGTGAACAATCAAGTAAGCCTGAAAGAAGGATTCATTCAACATGACAGAGCAAAACAGATGCCTGAAGTCAGATTCACCCTGAGGAAGAGACTTGTTTTGTCACCACAAGCTGGATCCCCATAAACCATGTGAACACTTAATGTATACTTAATGTTTTCATGCTTAATTCTTTCAGCATGATTAACTCAGGTGAAGGGTTTTTCAAAACTGTCAAGATTTTATATCTTTTATTTGTGAATCCTAACTTTGACCTCTATCATTTATGTCATATTTTAGATGATATGTTTAACTCAGGTTAAGGTTTTAATATAGTATACAGCCTTTTTTACAACACTTAAATTTTCTTGAAACACACTGAATCATGTCTTTTAAATTGTGGTAGATTCTTGTTGCAGAATAAATCATTTTTCTGATCACTTTTGAGTCTAGGTTTTTAAAGACATGTACTTCAACAGAGTATTGATGACTTTTGCAATACACGTGATTTACTAATGTAAGATGGCAGTTTTACATTTTTCTACACCAAACGTTATTAAATTGCATTAATATATAGGCCTATATATGTTGTTGTTTTTTACACAACCACTAGGCTTTAGTAGGCTCACATTTAGTCATTTTGAAATAGATGCTAATGACCTTAAAGGAGCATTATGTAACTTTATCAAATTGGCAGTGCAGTCCAAATCAAAACATTAAGAGAGCTGTCTCAACCCACCCAATATTTATCCTAGTTTTACCACATTTCTTTCTGGTCGTGGAGCTTATTAGAAAAATGCTGAGGCTTTTAAGGGAATTTTATGATTTAATTCAATAGTTATCTGACATATTGCTCCTTTAACCATAACTGTGATAATAGCATAACATATTTTATTTTTATTTTGAATAGTATGCTCACTCGGAACATTTAGGATGGGATCACATATGAGGAAATGAATGAAGTGAGCACATGGGTTGGTTGGGTTGGTAATAGCTTGCTTTTAGATTCGGCTGCGCACATACAAACGACTCTACGGTAATGCGGCGTCGTTGCCATAACAACTCGAATTTCACCGTCTGCTTTTCCGTGTTGGAAGAGGGGCTGCAGCCGAAGTACAGAGAAAGAGCTATTTGTCTGGAAAATGACCGAAACAACCCGTCTGTCTCGACAAACGTTTTTCATATAAGGCTGTTCCCGCCACGTTGAGACCTTTATCAGGATTATCTGCCGTGAAATAACGGCATCGATAATGATGGAAGCCCCTCTGGAAGAAGAGAGACCTACAGGTGCCTCGGTGGGAATTGAAGGCGCAGACCACGGACAGGAGCTGAAAGTGTCTGAAGAAGCTGTCTCATTCATGTCCAGCATAGGTAGGTTGTCTATGTAGGCTATAGGCTACTGTAGGCTGGTGTGTCGTGAAGGGTCGACCCCTGTAGAAACTGCGTGCCTGCCAGAAGCAACAACTGGTTTTGGCACTTCTTGAGCCTCACGCTATAATTAGCAACAGCTGACGTTTATTTCATTGAAGCATTGAGGGGATCTAAACAACAATTATCCATTGTGATTAAAGATTTCTGATATTCTCTGCAGAGCCTGAAGAGCTGCAGAGGTGTGTGTTTGCAGACTCTCTGGTGACTGTATCAGAGGGAGGCAGAGACCTGGGGAAGTTCTCAGTTACAGTGGAGTTTGCACACAGGGGCCAGCAGCCCTGTATGTTGTTGCATGCTCAGAGCCAGGGGACCATTGATGATAACCCCTGTGGAACAACAGTGACAGGTGAGGAGAGGCCAGAGCTGCTTGAACAGGTTGATCTTGTCTATTTACAGCTGTCTCAGTATGTTCGTTCCCTTTCTCTGTCCTCATATCCAGCCTACCTGAGTACAGAGCTCGAGGTACTGGAGGAAGAGTACCATGAGTTTGTCAAGGTGAGTCATTGCATCATATTACATTATTATTGATGACACAACTTGACATTCTAACATTTTTTGTATGTGAATATTGTATTGGTTTTAAGTTGTGTTGTTAAGTAACTAGAATCCAAAGTCTTGCAAGGTCTCATCATTAACAGCTAGCCTATCTGCCATGACTTGCTGGGCCAAAGAGGATAGAGACAGAAAAAGACACATCTTTCTATGTTGTGGTAATCCAGGGGAGAGTGACAATTCAATCTTTGCTTGCCCCTTTGTCTGCTGTCTTCATCTCTCTTGATATGTACTGTATAAGGGATTGTGTATATGATTCCTCTCTCCTGTATATTCGTGGGCTGTTGACGAAACCACAACTTTTTGTTTTTTTCCTTAATGTAAATGACAATGTTCATCACACAACATCAATAACAAATTGATCACAAAAAAAAGAAAGAGAGAGAGAAACAGGCAGACAGGAAGACACACAAACAACGACAATAACATTGATTTTAGATTTTAAATATCCAAAGAAAATTCAACTTCAGTCCGACTTTAGAGTTTGGAGTGTACTGAAATTGGGGTTTTGAAGGATATCTTATTTAGAGTTTTCCAGTCAAAATTCAACGTATATCAATTGTTTCTGTTTAAAGTCAATCAAGTCTTGGGATTCGGCGTGAACCCAAACGTCTCTGGTTTTGACATCTCTCCAATCTTAGAGTCCAGCCTCTTTCTGTTTTTAAATATACAAACCTATTCCTGCTGGGCTTCCAATATTTTGCCTTCGTATTTCTTTATTTGCCTCTAAACCGAAATCTAAATTCATTTTCAGCTCGAGGGCAAGAGTTTGGACAAGAGGTGTCACATGGTGCAACGTGACAGCCATATGGTGATCGATAAAGTTACCACTGTAGGAGAGGTGAGAGAATAAACAAGATTTTAGTTATGTCATTTTTATGGCAAGGTTGCTTTTGTTTACACAACTATTCATTGAATTATAGCATTGAGATTTTAAAAAACTGCTGATATGCTAGCTATATTTTGCTATAATTCTTTGTGTGTGAGCAGGAGGTGACAAAGGAGAGTGTTTCCTATCCCATGTCAGTCCTCAGAGGTCTGGTAACTGAGGGTTCAAACTTGCTCTTGATGCGTCTGATTGCTCTGAGGAAGAAAGTGCCAGAAAACATGAACTTTATGTCTTTGGACCAAGGACTGCACATCATCAACACCACTTTTGTGAGTAACTATATAAAACCTTTTATAGGTTCTGTTTTTGTTTGAGAAGCTGAACGCCGATTACTTGTCTCTCTTTGGTCAGAGCGAGCTGGGGCTGAAGCAGCTGGATGTTGGAGGTGAGACGGTGGAGGTGTTTGGGTTGGAGAGGACAGTTCACTCTGTGGAGGATAGCCCAACAACCTGGCAGAGCTACTTCTTGGGTGATGGGTAAGCCAAATGTCAATTACTGGAGCATTTGCTGCTGCTTAAAGGGCTGCATAGTCAAACAATATGAAATTATGCTGTTGCGAGGAGAGTCTTGCATGTAGATCAGACCAATGGTAGCCTCTGCAGGACTTTCCTGAGAAGACATGATATAAGATTTCTGTATCATCCCGCTTGACTTAAGGACGCTGGTTTGCACAGGTGCTGTGACAGACAAAACAATGAAAGACTCTGAGAAACAGTGTTAGTTCAAAGGACTCCTACTAAGACTGATTGTCTCTATCTGTTACGACCAGTGAATTTAGGACCCAGATAGGACACATAAACAGAGGGGTTGATTGGTAATGAGGTTTATTGTGGCAAATGGAGATGAAGATGGGTTGAAGATTCTGGAGGTTAGCAGAATGAAGGGGATGAAGGCTGACCAGACCAGAGTAAGGGTGTGAGCGTGGCTGAGCAGTTTTCAGTCCAGAGAGCAGATTGAGGCAGATGGCTGAGCAGGAAGGCAGGTGGGTGAATGGTGATCCTGAAGCAAAGGAAAAATACAGGATGAGACTCAAAAACCAAAGCAAGCACAAAAAGATTAATTTTAAAGGTTTTTTCAAAATCTTAATTTAGCCTGAGCCGTCGTCTACCGCAGTAGTTGATACAACGATCTGTCGATGAGTGGATGGAGAGCCGGGGTATATATACTGCTGAGTTGATGAGGAGATGGAGAGCTGGTGTGCAGGTGAGAGCAGGTGAAAGGAATGAACCTCAATCAGGAGGGAGCCAGAGTGAGAGAGTCATGACACGATCAATGTGTAACATGCAACACACATGCATGTACTTTTTATTTTAGCAGGGAGGACTAACTGAGACATGCGTTTCCTTTTTGAGGGTTTCCTTCAAACTCAACATGTAAAAATGATGTAAATTGTAAAATATGACCTTTAAACTTGTGTTTAGATGAATGCTAATACATAAAAGCTTTAACCACTACCCATATGGGCACATTACAACAGGTAAGAGTTTTTCTTCAGCAGTTCAGTCTCTAGCTTCATATGAAACCAAAGCAGACGGCTTAGCTTCAGTTAAAAAGATATTTCACAGATCTACAGATCTACATCAAACCACATGAGTTTCCCACAGGTTGGTGTTTTTCTGTGATTAATTGTTATCAAGATCGCTGCAAGACAGTATGAAATTATTTAAACTTAACTTTACTATGTTGGAGCTTTTCCTTGTTCACTTAGAAAGCTATCTTAATTTGTGGGCTACTTTCAATTATTACGAGCTAGCCAAGCCTGATATGCATTTACACTTAAAAAAATCAAGTCCAATCCCATTCAGGGTTAGTATTTCAGCCACCTGTGATATCTACACGTGTGGCTATAGGTTAAAAAGTGTCTAATTGTAGGGATCTGGATATGGCCAAATGTGGTGATGTATTGTGTGTGTGTGTGTGTGTGTGTGTGTGACAGAGAGAGCAAGGAAAAGAGAAATGTTGGAGTTGATTCTATTTCTGTTTTTTAAATCTGGATGGTGTTATCTTTGGCAACCCTAGAAACATCTCTGTATTCATCACAAGTCCATCCATTTGAGCTTGATGCTTTGTAGATCTTTGTACAACACATTACCACAAAAAGTAATAATTTAATTACAAAGTTAATGAGCAGTTTTGTTTTTCTGATCAGGCACTTGGCCAGCAGAGTGCAGGTGGGATCACCGGTCACCATGAGGCTTCTGCAGCTGCCATCACAGCTACAAAGAGGTTATTATTTAAACAGAAAGTAGACCCTTCTTGAAGGAAACAGAGTCAGTAATAAAGTATTTGTGTTTGTTTTTTACTTGTGTGTTGTCAGGTTTTGAGAAGATCCCGTTGGTTTGGGAAGAAGACATGCAGATGTGCTCCAAGTTTTTGGACAGAAAGGTAATCATGTTAAAAGTAATACAATGTAAAAAAAATCCTTTGGTCAGGAAAGATTACAGTTGCTTGTTTATGTCTTGTTATGGCAGGAGGAGCTGAAAGCCAACCACACCTCATACCTCAGACAGCATCCAGAGATCCGGGCGCTCATATCTGACTTCCTGCAGTTCTTGCTGCTGAGGAAACCCGATGATGTCGTCCAGTTTGCCAGAGAGTACTTTCTCCCTTTTGCCTCCAGTCATTCTCCAGAAGCGAGCCTAAAACCACTGTCGCTCTGAAGCAAACCAAGGCCAGCACAGCACCTGTTCAAAACACCATTGAATAGATTCCTGTCGATTTCTCATTTTCACTCCAGACTAAGTTTGACATTTGCATTTGTTCTTTGTTCTTTGCTCTTTGCTCTTTTTCCCCCCTGCAGTGATAGATAACTATTGGTCTAAAAGTTAACACGGAGGAGATGAACTGTCACTTTTACACCTAGTTAACTTAAAATTAACTTTATAGATCTGAATAAAGTTTATTGATATATTTGTGTTTGTTTTATTTTGGGACCCTGTCATTCATGTCTGGGCAGAGTGCTTACAAGTAGGGCCTTTTTAAAGCTTTTGGTTTGTGTTGATTTTGGAGGACCCCATGGACATAACAGTACATCTTATCTTTTTTCTGATCTTGTCCTGTTCACAAAGGTAATGTTTACTGGAAAAAAAACTTATCCTGTTTTCTTTAAGCTGTTAACAGAAATGTCTGACACCTACACCGTGGCAGCTGTCAGAGGAATTGAAAATAATAAATCTTGTCTCTAATGGCCTTGTTTACTCTTGTAGGTCATGATGAGGCCTCCTTATTTATTTCACTTTGTTTGAAAACCATCCAAAAAGTCCTCTCAAGATGTTGCATGTTTGCCAAACCACAGGCTAACTCCGAAAAGGAAACAGTGAAACTGTTTTCAAAATAAAGGTATCGTTTGTTTTATGTCAAAAGATAAGTGTAATATACCCCTCAAAGTAGGTAACTTGTAGATTGTCGCTAAAACCTTCACATTAGCTGAAGAAAGCATTACTCTAAAATAAAATTTAAAATCTCTCTTCGTCTCCTTAGTTACCAATAACAGCTTTTATTCTGAAGGTGAAATAAAGTGTCCTGTCATGTTCAGAAAAGTGAAACGAAAGTTGAGCGGCTCAGGCAGGAAAACACGTAACACAACTAAATTTAGGCTTAATGTTTTAATGTATTGGCCCTTAAGAGAGTCAAGTTTTGCTGAATTATAGGAGACACATATTTTTTTTCTTTTTTGACGGCAGTTGACAGCGGTAAGTTTAAAGTTTTAAACTCGTAAATTGACTTAAAGCTGTTGGACAGTAGTAACTTTAGCCTGGCTAACTTTCTGTACATGATGTTAAAGTTAATGAAGTTAGTCTGTTGTCATGTTTAATCCACTTGACGTTACATTATCCATGTGATGTCGTGTTGGTTTAAACTCTTCAGTGAAAACTTTTCAAACTAGCGAACTATATTTGCGTAAGTTTACGTGACGTGACCAGCGTAGTGACGTCAGCCAGACGGTCTCTTTTCACCGTGGCTGTTTTTTTTTGTAACGTCACCGCACCCAGTGTCGAAGTCACCACAATGGTTTCTCTTGTAAAATTACTAAATAATAACTGATGTAGTCACGAGTAAATTGTATGATGTGGCACTCGAAGATAAGTTTAAAAAGTGATTTTCAAAAGTAAAATAAAAAACAATGAATTGAAGAGTAAACATCAAATCAAGCACAACATAAAAGGGAATAAGTAAGATAGCATTAGACCAAACAAGACCAAATGCAAATATGTCACAGGAGTGTAAATCACAAGTGGTATCACATGACCATATTTTAATATATTTTACTGTAATACTATACTCATATCACAAAATGTGTGACAACTTCCCCATGTAGATGAGTTTAAAAAAAGACAACGAAAACATGATGAACAATTTGTTACTGAACTTTTCCTGACATTTAACATGAAAACAATCTTTTCTCTGTTGTATGAAGAGAAACATACATTTGTTTTCTTCTGCAGATATACTGGTCAGACATATTAAAGATGACAATATGGATTGAGGTTTTGGTTTGTGCCAACGATACTGTAAACTTGTGTTTATACATTGACCATTAAATGGATATTTTATGTAGCCGCAATAAATCTAGAGCTGGTCTAGTGCAAGAAAGACATTTCATAACATGTTATGGTGCCTGGGGATTTGCAGAGTCTCACAGTGATATTTGTTGAATGGTGTGAGTATTTATGTCTTGAATGTTTGCTAACCTAACAGCACATTGATCTCCAGGGCTGTTCTGGTGGGAGTGGGTCCGTGATGGACAGGGTGAAGCTGTCACGCATTGATGAGGAGCTGGGTTCCTCTGAGGTGGCGGCTCTCTGCTTCTTGTGTCGTGATGTTGTCAACAGGAAACACCTAGAGAAGGTGAGAACCACAGAACTCGTGCAGTTTGCTTCTTTTTTATTTTTTTCTATCTGGGTAAATGTTATTTTTTCAAATATAGAAATCCTGCAAAATTTCCCAAGTAAGAGTGTTGCTTAGTCAAAATGTAGCTCCCCCCTTTTCCTATAATATCTAACAAAATATTTTTCACTATTTCTGCAATAAAAATACCAAAAATTAAGGAATATTTAAGACAAACTTCAGAACTAAAGATATTATTGGAAGGAAACAAGGGAGCTACGGTAAGAAAATAATTAAATTGTATGAAAAGAACTGTAGAAACAGGCCTCCGATTCAGCTTGATGTGTTTCATAACTGTGACATGGACCAATTCCTTTCTTTTAACTCAAAACCCGCTTTCTGTGATTCCAAAATGTAGCCTAAGCACCGAATTATATTCAGATCATTTCTCCACCATTGCTACTATTATCAGCTACTGCATCCTTTTTCTTTCAGCGTTTGTGTTCTGACAGATTTTCTGCTGTTTGTTGGCCGTTCTGGTACAGGTCCAGGATGCTAAAGATCTGTTCCTGAAGCTAGAGGAAAAAGGTCTACTGGAGAACGGGGATTTTCTTTCTCAGCTGCTCAATACGATCCGTCGAGCAGACCTCCTCGCCATGCTGGAGACGGACAGCAGGCAGCCAGAAGAAACAGATGCAAGCCGCCGGCTGTCAGACTACAGGTAAAAGAAAGGATACATGAAGAGTAACTAGAAGAGATAACAGGACGGTAGGATTCAAATACACTCATTTGTCTGGTTTCCACTCCTCTGCTCTTTCCTTTAGTGTGATGCTGTACAACATACATCAGAACATGACTGACAGTAACTTTGACAAGATGAGTTTCCTGTTGAGTGGAAGGCCGGACGGAAAGCTGGACAGAAGACAAATTGAGTCTTGTAAGGTGAGAACATGCCTACCTAGATTGCCACACCTACAGTCCTACAATATAAAGTGTTTAATCTTCTGGATATTCTCCGTATCTTTGATGCATACAAACGTCTCACCACCTTGGATAGTTTTGTATTTTTGGGCATTTATTCCAGTGTTTCTTTATTGACCTTCAAGTGAGAAATTGAATACAGGTTAAATGGATAAATGTTTAACTTTTGTCATTTTTATCTGCACAACAAGACCATAACAACTTTCTACTTCATAACTAACACATTTTGTTAACATTAACCGCATGTAGTTGATGATCTTAGCTCCTTGTTTAGTATAAATACGAGGTCTTCACAGGTCCAAAGTGACAGAAACATACTCTTAAACGCGCAGGAGAGTGGTCAAAAAAATCAAATTCAATTGATCACGTTTTTCAAATGTCTTTAAAGTTTGGGTGCTGCCACATAAATGATATCCTTTGTTCTCATGGCTTTGTCTCGAGATCAGCACTGATGCTAGTTTGTCTTACATATAATGATTAGCAGACCCTTTACATGACCAGAAAGATCAAATATAACATAGGTAGGTCTGAACCCATAGGGTTCCTGGAACTGGTCAGGGGTCCTAAGGTCCAGTTATAGCTATGAAGATCAATACTCACCTTCTCGTTGCCATTTTAAGCATCCTTAGCTCTATTGATTTATGGCTGTTTGCATTTATTACATTGTTTTTATGTGGCATATAATAGGAAATATTTGTTCCTGTCTGGGTAAATTCAAATAACAGCTCCCTCCAAACATTTTCCTAAATGGCCTTTAATGGTCAGCAGGGGGAGACTCCACTGTTTGCAAAAAGAAGATATGAAACCAGATCAGCTCTGGTGTCAAAAATAGAATCCAAAGTTGAAGCTCAAAAAACACACGTTTCTTGAGTTACACCAGCTTAAGGCGAGGAATATCCATCAGAGCCCCATCCCCATAAGGGCCTGTGTCCACTAACACAGTCTTTGTGCTGGCAGTGCCCAGTTTCCATACAAAAACCAATGCAGTTCTCTGTTTTCAGCCCTCAGAGTCAGCTGTTTATTGCCACTGTCTGCCAGCTCAAAGATTGCCTTCAATGGTAAAAGGCCATTAATATGTCAATTATTACAGCAGACACAACATGTTTACAGTCTGGTACCAAATGATTTAGTATCAATAGCACATTATTGAACCTCAAGCAGGAGGGAGTCAGAGTGAGAGCGCTGTGACAGACGCTACATGTTTGTTGATTAATTACCTCACAAAACGTCTTCTCTTTAAGTGTATGTTCTCCATGCTAGTTTCAAGTCATTTCAACATAGCACGATGATCATTTAGAAAAATATGATCCCATTTATTGTGAACCAGTTGTTAAATATTGGCAAGCTTCAGAGCTATGAGGGATTAACTACACAGCTGCCAAGTTGGTCTTTCAACCATTTTTTGACTACTCATTACATGTTGTTATATTTATTTTTTTGTATTATGCACGTTACATGTTGTATCACGGAAGAAACGTGCAGCCATTAAGTTACAAAGAAGGGTTCATTTTATGTTTACTTGATGCTGTTTCATTTCTGCTATCAGCAATAATTAATACATAATAATTACATAATAATAATAATTAGACATTAGACAATACTGGCCATAATCATGCTCTTATTTGAGCACATTTTGAAGTGCGTTAATAACTTTGATCATGGTATAAGAAGTGCTCTTCTACACACAAACAGTGTTCTCTGTTACAGACACCACTGGATGTGTTTGCTGAAATGGAAAGGACTGGTTTACTGTCAAATCAAAAGCTTGACGTGCTGCTTTCAGTAGTGAAGGAGTTAGACCAAGAACTGGCACAAACTGTGCAGCTCTACATGCAAGGTATGTTACAAACTAAGACACGCGCACGCACGCACACACACACACACACACACACACACACACACACACTCACTACTTACACACAGTTATGTAGAGACCACAAACGTTTATGTTATATTTTTCTTTCATTTGTCAAATGATTGTTCTCTTTCAGGATTAATCCAGCCTTCTCATTTCAGCATGGATCACCAGGTATGTGTGTCTGTGTTTGTGTGTGTAAATGTGTGTTTGTGTACACAATAGATCCTATGACGAGCTAGTTTACTGAGGACTTTCTCTTCCCACAGAGGTCCAACGACCCCCCTCGTCCGACTCAGCCCTCTATGTCTGTGTCTGAGACTCAGCCCGGTGGTAAGTCTCACTGACTGCTGCTTCTATCAGGACACAGCCATAGATGAATTAGTACTCATGTCTAGTTTAGAGCTTGAAAACTCTCCTCTCTTCTTCACTGTCATGCTTTTATATTTGATCATTCACGTAAAAGAGAGGTACGTTTCTGCTGTTTTGTTCTTCAGGTGAACGAGAGAGTGTGTACTCGGACGCAAACCCCAGACCCCAGATTGAGCATCCTTCTCTTCCTGATCAGGTCATCATTCACACAACCCCATGTTCACATGCATTCATTCAACTTTATGGTTCATTAATGTTCTGAATTGTCCTTCAGACGGAATATTACGCCATGAATCATAGCCCTCGAGGACAGTGTGTGGTCATCAACAACAAGAGTTTCTTAAAGGGTCTGAGAACAAGAGGAGGGTCTGATAAGGATGAAGGTTTGTATCATTGTCATCAACCAGCTATGTAATCTGGGGTCTCATTCATAAACGTTGCATGCGCACAAAATGGGGCCTGAAAGTAGCTTACACCATTTCTCACATCAAGTTTGTGATCTGTAAAATCAAACCTGAAGGAAAAAAGTGCTGGTTAGACTCTGACCGATCCATACAGAGTCAGGAGGAAATTTATGTGAGTTGAAGCCAGATTGTAGAATGACAATTAATTTCACTAATTATCAATCTTTATTGGCAGATCAACGTCATCATAATCATTCAAACCGACAGTTTCATTTATAGCGTTTAAAAAAAAATATCTGTCAAAATGAACAGACATAAAATGTATTTTAAAAAGTCTGCCTCATATTTCATCAGCGTTGTCTCACCTCAATTCACCAAGAGCACACAAGACTGGCCTGTGTCCAAACTTAATTGTCTGGTTACAGTTTTAAGCAGGTCAACCCCTCCTTCTCCTTTCTCAAGGTGACTCACTCTTGCTAAAACCTAATGGAGGATTCCTAGCACGCAATAACAACACTGTTTCTCAACAAAGAATTTAAGTTTATAATTCAACCTGTTGATGTGTTACAATATATCTTCATGTTAAAGGTAATTAAACCAAATTAAAAGTTTGTGTTCACTGATGAAACTTCGGGTCAATAATATCCTAGTGCAGTGGAGACTGCTGATTGACCTGAGCACAAAAAGAAGACGTCTGTATGAGTCCTGTAAACATAAACAGTGCAGTGTAAAAACACTGCTGGGAAACCCCGCGTAAAGATCAATGGTGGTCGTCGTGAATTCAGCAGCAACGTGGTGTCAACATGGAGTTTTCTTTTAGATGTTGCCCTCCTGCTGGAGCAAATAACCAGTTAGTGCCGCTTACCTCCACTTAAAGGCATTTTGTTGAGGTGGGACAACATAACAATTCTATTGGCTAAAAAAAACTAATTTGTCAGATTGTTATATTTAATTTTAAAACATTTGAAAAAGGCTTTTACCAATTCTAAATCTGAAAAACTGGAATAAGAAATCCCTTTTGTCAGTAAAGAAACATTATGTGATCGTTTAAAATAAATCATAAACTCTTGTTCTTATTTCTTTTTCTCTCTAATGTGATGCAGAGGCTCTGTGTCAAGTGTTCTCCCAGCTCGGCTTTACCATGGTGGTTCATCGCGACCTGACTGCAGACGCCATGCAGCGTGAAGTGACAAAGCTGAGCAAGAGGAGCTTTTTAGAGGAAGATGCCTTGGTGAGCAGTTTCACAAACCTCCAGAGCAGTAACAACAGTCACACCATCACTATAGGATTTATGTTGTGTTATCTAAAGGAATACTTTGACAGCTTAGAAATACAGCACAAGATCAAATCCTTACCTCTTATGTCTTCTAGTGAATATGAATATGAATAGTAAGGGTTACCGACGGTCAGGAGGAGATAGGAAAGACAGAAATGTATTTTTTTTTCAACAAAAGTTCTCAGAAGGCAATACAAGTGTTTAATTTAGATGAAGGGCTTAACTTTTTTATTAATATTTTCTAGTACTGTAGGTTGTGAAATGCATTGCTGTGACATTTGACTGGAAGCTTTTCAGTCCTTGTTTGAGGAGTTTCAGTGAGAACCATCAGAGTTCATTCATTTTAACTGGTCAAACCCTTCATTCATTTTTTGAGCTGGTCCAGGTCCAGATCACATTGATTAAATATAATCATATAGTTTAGAGTTCACTGCTATATTCTGCTGGGAAAACACTGTAGAAACCCTTCTATTGATCCAAAGCACACAGATGAGAGAGAGTAGGAGAAATGTTTTATCTACTCCTTCCTTAAAGACACAGTGTTTGTAGTCCTCCTGTCCAGCAAATCACACCTTAAAGCAAAGCTAGCCTACATGTTTCTGTGGCTCAGTGTGATAGCGTGCACTTTAATCATCTCATGTTTAGATCCAGCTCAGTTTTGGCATTAGGGATCTTATAAAATTCAAGCCTAATTCAACTGCTATTTAAAAACCTGTCTGTGTCCGTCCTCAGGTGATTTGCGTGCTTTCTCACGGAGAAAAGGGCAGTGTGTACGGGTCTGATGAGAAGGAGGTGTACATCAAAGATCTGACTTTGCCCTTCACGAGCGAGAAGGCTCCCACCTTAGCAGGGAAGCCCAAACTGTTTTTCATCCAGGCGTGCCAGGGAAAGGGCTACCAGGGAGGAGCCGTGCCGTTACCCCCCAGGCCGAGACACGAGGACGGAGACAGACAGAGCCATCTGGAGGAAGATGCTGGTCCTGTGCTTGAAGAGACAGTGCCCTCGGATGCCGACTTCCTTCTGGGCATGGCCACCGTGCAGGACTACAAGTCGTTTAGACACGTTTCCTTTGGATCCGTCTACATCCAGGAGCTTTGCAGGCAGCTTCATAAATCAGCAGAGAGGTGAGAGACAACTCGATGCAGGGTTTGAGTTTCTGATTGTTGACTTTTTATTATTCAGAAGCTACGGATTAATTAGAAATGTGGAAAATCAAGTTAGTCTTCAATACTATTTTAATACTACTAGGATTAAAGGGATAGGTTTTTTGAAGTGGGGTTTATAATGATGATATTATATTCAAATAAACCATCGATTATTTTGAGCAAATTTTAAAATGTATGTTTCTGATGTTTTCTGTGCAGCTCGCAGATGGATAATATTCTCTCTGTGCTGACACGTGTGAACAGGGAGGTCAGCAAAGGAGTTTATTTAAACCACAAACAAATGCCCGAGCCCAAGTACACCCTCACCAAGCAGCTCGTCCTCAAATACGTTTGACGTGCCACTGTGACCAAGTGCAACGCTACTTAGGTGGCACATTGAGGATTCACAAACCAGAATTGTTTTCTGTGTGTATGAGTATGTGTGTTTAATGTCTCTCTGCAGCCCCTTTCTCACATGAACTCCTGACGTTTTCTAGATCATTTCAGGACATCTAAGTCCTGGATGTTGCTAACACACTAACACAGCAGTTTGATATTACAATAGAATCACAAATTAACTTTTATCTGCAGATAACAAGAAAAATAAGTCGTGATGTCAAGAAAACAACCAGCAATTACACATATTCCATCACAGTAAATAAAATGTGTGGATGCATGTTTGCTCAGGGCTTCAGTATTTAACCTCCTTGACATTTGCACGAGTGATGTGCATGTGTGAAAGAGACTATAGCTGAATGTATGTATGGATCTGAATGTTGTTACCTTGAGAAGAGAGTATGTGTTAATGAAAAACATAGAATCAAGGTACATAATATGTCTCAAGAGCCATTTAAATACATTGTTTTAATGTATCAGGAGATAAATACAGTAAGTCATCATTTTGTCATAGTTTATACATTTAGAAAATACTTGTTGCTTTAGATAGATAAGAACTTTATTGTCTATTTTTGCTTTAAACAAACTCAAATGTAATCATTTATTTTTCCGGTTCAAACAATAAAACATGAAATCCAGTTGTGCTGTTTTAGGATTGTGTCATTTAAGGTAAAGTTGTCACAAAAAAAAATCATTTTGTTTTTAACAAAACTGATTCATCTCAGATCAAGGAATGATGATAAAAGATAAATATATCTATTTTACAGACACAGTGAGGTGAAATGATCAAGTACAGTAGTGTGTTTAGATTATATACTAAATAAAACACACAGTAAGTGTAGAGAGTAAACGCACCTAGTATGTTGTTGTAACATGAGACGAGCCTGTTGAAAATGAGTCAGCTAAACCCGGCAGGCCTTGAGCCCAGCACAGACGCACACACTGGGCGTTTGTTTGTGTGTCTCCGAGTGTGTATCTGTGTGTGTTTGGGTGTGTTTGTGTTTGTCTGTGTGTGTGTGTGTGTGTGACAGATTCCTGTGGACTCCACCCTGCTGCACTTCACTGTTCCAGGAAAAGCTCCTCTCTCTCTCTCTCTCTCTCTCTCTCTCTCGCTCTCTCTCTCTCTCTCTCTCTGCTGCTTCACATCCACAGCTCACCACCCAGCAGCACACACACATGAGGACGGACTGACAGGCTGCTGAACAAGTTCAACCTTGTACCCGGACTCTGCTGCACTTTAGAGGGTTTTCTGTACACGGAGAGAGGGCGTGACTGAGAGCGGAAAAAAAAACCAAAAAAAAAAACCCTCTCAGCCTCATTTTGACGCACGGAATAAAGACGAGCAGGTTTCCTCCGACGTCGCTGTCTCTTAAATCGGTAAGTTGAGTTAATTTGTTGAGTTAATGTTGTTTTGAAGCTGCGGAACGATTGTTAAATGTGTCAGTTTGTGACTTCATCTGTTGCTGCTGGTGGTGTGATGAGGAGCGTGTATTTTGTGGTGGCTATTCATAGCAGTGTGGGTGTGTTTAGTTTTTGCCGTCCGTCACACACCTGAAAAGGCTTTTTGTGAGAGGAGGTTTTGGTGAATAGGGTGGAGTGTGGTCAGCCTGTGTGCTCTGGACATGTTAACTTGTTTGTCAAAAAAAAAAAACCCAGCTCAGTCATCTTTGTTTAACAGTCCAGTAAACCCCAGAGAATATAGTTTGATTTAGATGTATATTTAGACAAAAGTCTTCAAACTTTGGTATCTGAAATATGATCATTTATTTTGGGTTGCACATTCAATTCAATTCAATTTATTTTGTATAGTGTCAACTCATAACAAGTGTTATCTCAAGACACTTTACAAAAAGCAGGTAAAATACCTTACTCTTTGTCTGTTAACATTACAAAAGAGCAGGTAAAAAGACCTTACTCATTGTTATGTTACAAAAAGCAGGTAAAAGACCTTACCTATTGCTATGTTACAAAAAGCAGGTAAAAGACCTTACTTATTGTTATGTTACAAAAAGCAGGTAAAAGACCTTACTTATTGCTATGTTACAAAGACCCGCCCTATCCATCATGAGCACTTTTAGCAAAGTAGCAAAAGTTACAGTGGTAAGAAAAAACTGCCTTATTAAAAGGCAGAGATCTTTGGCTGGATCCCCGGCTCATGATAAAACAGCCTTCACAGGCCTAGACTGTGCCGGGGTTGGAAAGGGATAGGGGGAGAGATGGGATAAGATGCAGGAAGAGGGATAGGGAGCAAGGGGGTGGGGGGTGGCGGGAGGCAGACCGTCCATTGATAAATATCTCCCTGAGGCTACTTTTATGTTCACTATCACACTCTATTCTACTTTGAGCTGCAAGCAGAACACAAACTTCAACTTGTCAATAGATGAAATGTAGTGCAGACATATTGTCACAGCATGAGAAGTACAGGAGTAACCATGAACACTGATGTTAAACTGGTTTTAAAGTGTCCCAGTAGGATATGAAACCAAGCTAGCCACAGGGCCTTTCACCTGAAACACACAAGAACCACGGGCAATAGGCCTACTTAATCTGACTTTTAACAATAAGTAAAGAAATAAAACATGTTTCCCTTAGTTATTATGTATTGTCGTGTCTTTGTGGTTCAATAGCATTCCTCTCAGTTAGTTCATTCAGTTAGTTTTCCACATATAATATAAACATTGCTGAAATGCCCTCCAGGTGAGATGATACAAATAACTGAATTAGTTAATTTCATATAAAAAAATGAGTCCTCTTCGGGGTTATTCAAAACCCATAATTAGCTTTTTAAAGCTCCTGTGAGGCGTTTTTAGGTGGATATTAAACTGAGTGAAATAAAGACTGTTATCTCTTTAAAACTCAAAACAGACAACAAGACCATCAGCGATAACATTCATGGTTTCTGTATTGTTGCAATTACAATTCTACAATTCATTGAGCCGACGCTTATTTCCAAAGTCAGAACATCAGAGTATAAAGTACTGAAACTGCTCGCAGGGGGAAGAAGGAGACTGATGAAGTGATTAACAGGACGCTTCAGAAACAGCCTTCAGGAAAAAATGTGATCAAAAACCACTTCCTACTCCCAATTTCCACATGCCGTCAGCACCACGGTTTTCTAAGCGCACCCCTGATATGCTGAACACGCATCCCAGGAGGACTACAAGATCACGCGGGAATAACGAGAAAAACGTGCAAACAACACGCTGCTTTGTCTTTACGTGTTTGATGTGTTGTTCTTTTGGTGCCTGTTTTGACTTAATGTTGATAAAGTGATGGAAAAAATACCATAGTGAGTCCTTCTCGTGTTTTGTTTTGAAATTGGCCGCACACTCTGTGTGTGTGTGTGTGTGTGTGTGTGTGTGTGTGTGTGTGTGTGTGTGTGTGTGTGTGTGTGTGTGTGTGTGTGTGTGTGTGTGTGTGTGTGTGTGTGTGTGTGTGTGTGTGTGTCCTCCTCTGACTTCCTGTCTGGCTCCCTTTATTCTGTCTAACTTGACGCGTGCTTGCAACTTGCGGCGTCGGAAAAAGACTTGCGGCGTATTTAAAACGTAGCAGAGCGTAGTGGCGCTGCTGGCACACAGTGTATGTGGGAAAAATTTTGGAGTAATACATGTTCAGGACAAATAAGCAAAGAGAGACATTTTTCAGCTGCGTCCAAAGGGGGCGCTAAAATCAACACAAATCAAAAGTTCCTCACAGGAGCTTTAAAAAGAGCTCAATACTCAACATGTAACTGTGCTATTTAAAACAATTGATGTATTTCTACCTTAATTCAATTCTTAATCTCAAGGAGAACTTATAATATGCAAAACCATAAAAATGATTTAGATAATAACTGATGTGAAGGTTATTTGATGTAACATATGGTATCTTCACCCACAATTATTTTCTTCTTTAATCATATGCCAGTTTTTTAAAATCACAATTTATCACATTTGGTCCGAACAGTTTTCAATTAGAAATCATAATATCGGTTTTAACCCTCATGCTCTTTGTATTTGAATATGTCTTCAAAATGTTTTCATTGTGTTTTATCTGCTGGAAGAGATCTCACAGAATCTGGTACCATTTATTTTTATAGACAAAAAGCACACTCAACAAAAACAAAAACAACTGGGTGCTGAATCCCCCAAAAAATTACTAAATTTAGAGTGCTGTCCTAACCATTTATTTTTAGCCTGAAGGTCACTGAAGAGCAAAAGCAGATATCATGAAAGTTACAAATGTACTCTCTTGTATTTGATGATGCCACACCTCCCTTTAGATTTGAACATATTAACTCTTTTACAATAGAAGGCAGGATTACGATATAACCCATAGAGAACAACAAAACATGTAAGAACCTCTTCTCTCCCTACAAATATACAAAAAAAACTTAAATAGCCCCACACTCATGAAAAACATGAATCATAAATCATACAGAGCAGGATGTTCTGACATGTGTTGCAGCATTACATGATTCTAAAAGGAGAAGTGTCATGATGAAGGCCAAATACAGAACGATTACAACAATACATTCTCTCTAATATAAAGAGGGTGAAAGATGTAGGTTATATAAACATCAACAGCTGACTATTTCCAAGTCAAATCAAAACTCAAAACAGACTCAAACACAATTTGAAAGGGACCTCCACAAACTGGTTCTTTCTGGTTTTATCTTGTGAGGTGTTTCTGTTATTCAGTAAACCCATAACAGGGTCTCTGTGTAAGTGAGGTGTGAAGACATGTTTAAGAAGCAACGTGGACAAAACTAATGTTGTCAGTGTTGTGAAGGAGGAAAACTTGACAGCAGTGACTCATAATGTAATCACTCTGTGGTTGGATTGAGATTAGTAGGAAATCAACAAAAGCCACGATATATTTTATCACTACAACACATTTTCCAACGTCTATGACCTCTATCCTCTAAATGTCAGCTTTTAAGAAGCGTTACGCCCTCCTTTTCAAACACGCCTTAAGTCCTCTGGTCTGCTGAGTGCTCGCACTGACCCGAGCTGTGATCAGCTCTGCGTCTTGTTCTGAGGCTGTTTGACTGCTCAAACTCTGAAGCACTTTTTTCCATGCAGTGTTTTGGGGCCTGTTGCTTGGTGCTCTGGATGTGATGAAACTGCAGCACGAGGTGGAGCCAGCTGTTGAATTCTTTTACTGTGTTTAGTCCCCTAAACGTCACAGTGAAAACAGAGCTCAGGGAACACTTTGCATTTCAAAAAACACAGGCCGGTCTCTGTAAATAATGTGCTGCCTGAGTTTCTGTGAAGTAGCAAATAGAAAAGATCATCGGAGAAATGTTAAATCCATTGTGGGAGAAAATGTGTTTCAAATCGACATTGTAAAAAGTGGGATTGTTTTGTTGCTAAAGCACTTAAGAGTATCCTGTAAAACTACCACAGCCCTTTTTTATTATCACGGCAGGAACAGGGAAAAGTTAGACTATATTCTAAGTGACTGCATTGTGTCAATGTGTGGTGTATTATTCGACATTTCCCTCAGAAGTGTTTGTGGTGATTTCTGGGCCTATGGTGGGATTTTGGGAACCACTTTACTAAGCAGAAGCATAAGTTCACCCCAAATGTTTGAGATTAAAACTCGGGCGTATGTTGGTGTTGGATAAATCTGTGAGCACATAATTCACGGCAGCTCAACGCTCAGGTCTGAGGCCTGCTGTAGGTTACTGAAGCCTGGATTATTGCATACTTGTTTTGAAAAGTCAGGCTTGATAAAAGAAAAATATATATATATAAACTGTCCGAGATGTTTCCCAACTAAACTAACAGAGGCAGTCACTGCATCCTTTAATATTGAATCATGAAGAGCTGTGGGGTAGTAAGTGATTAACAGCACTCTTTTTGGACAATGTGATGTGGAATCTTTCGAGGCTTTTCCTAAAATAACATCATCACCTTCAACAGGAAAGGGCATCTTATTCATGTTTTCCAGCCTATAGAAGTAATGATTAGATCACACCACAACCAACACACAGGTTTTTTTTTTAAGATTTATTTTTTGGGCTTTTAAAAAAAAAATGCCTTTATTTAGAGACAGGACAGTGGATAGAGTCATAAACCGAGAGAGTGGGGAATGACATGCGGGAAAGGAGGATTTGAACTTTGCCCCAATCCAAAGTTTTTTAGGTTGTTGTCAATGTGTTTCATGAGATGTATTTAGATATATTTAAAGAGCACGTGTGATAAAGGAAACATTGGGTAATGTGAACAAACTCTGCAATCAGTGATAACATTGTCTAATAATTCTAGGATTACAACATGAAGTGCAATAAATGAAGATAAATTAAAAGCATGTTTATTTGTAAAGAATAATTTATACATGGAGCAAGTCAAAGTGCTTAACATGTAAAAACAGAACATTATGATCAACAAGAGCATTAAAAGAGATGTGAAATGAAGTTTAATAGTTCATTGAAATGTCCAAAGAAACAATAAAAGAAATGACATTATTTTTTATAAACTTTTTTTTATATAATTGTGTGTTTGTGTGTGTGTGTGATAATCTGTGATGAGTATATATTAATGGAAATGTGGAAGTATAAATCAGGCTTAAGTTCATAATGTTTCCTTACAGACTTACATTCTATTTAATTTCATATAAGCGTACTAAAACTGAGACAATTCCCCCATGTCAGCTAAAATTCTTAAAGTATAATAATTACTACAACGCAATACTTGACTTCTAATTATTCATTTTTGTTGTTTTGATTTATAATGTCTTCTTCATCTCAGTTAGATTCTTGCTGGATTTGTTGGGACAGTTTCATGTTGACAGACGTTACAGTGGAATTCTAATTTATTATCTGTATTGTTCTTGAAAGCTTGTGTTCTTCCTTTTTTGATGATAATTGATTAAAAAAAACGTTCTAAAAAACTGATGCCACAACATATTTCACTCGGGCATCTCATGGTTTGTTTTTTTGGTTCTCAGCTTTCCAACATGAATCACACGTTAACGTCTCTTTCTACCTTCCTCACAGGTGACATGTCCAGGTCAGACTACCCTCCAGGGTATGACGACTCCAGGGGCCCGCTGTACCCGCCTCAGGGTGGGAATTACCCAGCACCCCCTGCGTATGGCTTCCCATCCTATGGTGGTCCGCAGCCAGGTCAGCCCCCCTGCTCCCTACCCCACCGGTCCAAACACCCCCCTGTACCCAGGCCAGCCTGGAGGCTATGCTCCTGGCCCATATCAAGGACAGCCTCACCCTGCTGGGCACCCAGGGGGGCGCTACCCCAACCCCCCGCCTATGCCCCCTGTCATGCCACCCACCATCCCATCAGACATCCTGAGCTCTGGTAAGACTGTGTGATGTATGATCAGTCAATCAATCAATCAATTTTTATTTGTGTAGCGTCAACTCATAAGAAGTGTTATCTCGAGACACTTTACAAAAAGCAGGTAAAAAGACCTTACTCATTGTTATGTTACAAAGATCCGGCCTATCCATCATGAGCACTTTAGCAAGGGGGGGGGGGGTGTTCTGGCAGGCCGTCAACCAACGATCTTGAGGAGCCTAAGAGAGCGTAAGAGCTCCCAGGAAAGTAGGTGGTTAGTGACTGAGATTTACAGATAGATACATGCAGTAATATGATGTACTGTATCAGTAAAAAAAATCACTCTGTTTGAGGCTTAAATTAGTTAAACCACATTCAGGAAGATTCAGATGAGAAGATCAATACCACTCATATCAGTACAGCAAATACAGAGGCACAATCAGGAGATGGCTAGTCTCTCTGAGGAAACATGGGGAAAGTCAGCCTGGTTCTGTCTGAAGGTATCACAACACAACTACCCACACTTTATAGATAGGTTCAGACAACAAGGAGAGACTAACATACTAAGTTAATGTGAATCCTGCTGGTCACTTAATATGAGTCAAGCTCATTTGTGTCATTTGCATATTGATTAAGATATAAAACTTGAATGAGGAATTCAGTGTTAACTCTCAGCGTCCTCGGGAGACAGTCATGGCAGTTCATGTACTTACACTTTTTTTGTTTTTTTTTTTGTTTTACAAATCTGCCCCTTGATATAGTTCATCTAATCACAACTCAACTTTTTCATTTTGGGTCCATACTGCTGTTGTTATGACAGCTACAGGCAACAAGCTAGATAGAGTGAACCTGCGGGTCACTAGAGACAGACAGACGGGTGCTCCGCAGCTGAAACAGAGCGTCAGTCACAGGTGTTCATGAGAGACATCCTGCTGCTCAGCCCACTAACTGGGCATCCATACAACATCTGTGGACATTCACTATAATGCTTCATCTTTCTGACTTGAACAGTTCACATGTGGTTACGGCATGTTGCGTCAGCTCTGAGTGAGGATAAAGAACATGTTCCCTTTATCGCGCTGTGGTCAGTTTTCTCATATTACTGTTCTGCTGATGTCACAGGTGATGATTTTGCGGCGAGCGATGGCGGTTGGGACAGTATGAGCATTCGACACGCCTTCATCAGGAAGGTAAAACACACACTGTCACACAAACCACCGTGTCTAACATATCGAGTCACAGAGCTAAGCACCCCTGGCTGTCATCTGTATTTATTTACATATATGTTAGTCTTGTGGACAGAATGCGCCGTGTTGATGAAACTAAAACACTTTTATTGTCTTCACGTGTGTTTCAGGTGTACATGATTTTGGCGGCTCAGCTCCTCCTCACCACATCCATCGTGGCAGTATTCACATTTGTGTGAGTAAACAGTGTGTGTGTGTGTGTGTGTGTGTGTGTGTGTGTCTGTGTGTATGTGTGTATGTGTGTGTGTTTGTGTGTCAGTGTGTATGTGTGTGTGTTTGTGTGTCAGTGTGTGTGTCTGTATGTGTATGTGTTGGTGAATGTGTATGTTTATGTGTGCATGTGTGTCTGTGTGTCTGTGTGTGTGTGTGTTTGAATGTGTGTCTGTATGTGTGTTTGTGTGTCAGTGTGTGTGTGTGTGTCTGTATGTGTATGTGTTGGTGAATGTGTATGTTTATGTGTGCATGTGTGTCTGTGTGTCTGTGTGTGTGTGTGTGTGTGTGTGTGTCTGTATGTGTATGTGTTGGTGAATGTGTATGTTTATGTGTGTGTTTGAATGAATGTGTATTTGAATGCGTGTCTGTGTGTCTGTGTGTATGTATGTGTACATGTGTGTATGTATGTTTGTATGTATGTATTTGTGTCAGTGTACATGTGTGTATGTATTTGTGTCAGTGTATATGTGTGTATGTATGTGTGTATGTATGTGTGTTTGTGTGTATCACGCTGTAATTGTGCCTCTGTCTCTCACAGCGAGCCTGTCCGATATTTCGTACAGAGAAACCAAGCCATCTACTGGGCGTCATAGTAAGTCAGATATGCAGTTTTATATGGATTAAAGAGAACGTGTGTGACTATTAACCCTTTCATCTTCATATATCTGTTTTAGTGCTGTGTACTTCATTACCCACATGGTGCTGGTCTGCTGTAAGGGCCCCCGGTGAGTGTGACTGTTTGTAAGTATAAAGAAGTCAATCATAGTATCTGGGTGCCTCCTGTAAACAAAGGAAACTCCGCTAATGTACACTCTGTACATGTGTAAGTAGTGTTTTTAACAACGTCACCACATAAAAAAAAAAAAATAGAAATCAGTAATGTTGACGCGGACGGGTGTGTTTGCTTCTGTAGCTCATGAAGAGAAATCTATGCCAATTTCAGTCTGTTGCATGAAAAGTGAAGAACTCCTCGCAGCAGCTTTAATCTTGTAATGACCGCTCTGTCTGCAGGAGGAAGTTTCCATGGAACGTCATTCTGCTGCTCATCTTTGTAAGTCACATGGTTTGTAGTTGACTTGTTAACCAGGAAAGGCGTCATCACAGGCCGCTCCCTGAACTTGGATTAATTCTATTTCTTGACTTCTGTAGCTTACGTTACTTTGAAGTGAGTCACCAAGGTTGTCTCGGGCTTTGTTTGCACAACAACTTTGACACTTTGTTGATATGTATTTTATCAGATCTGTGGGCTAAAATGGCTCCATGTACCGCGGTACTTGAAGAGCTATTTGTAGCTGTCAGAAGAGGAGATCTGTTTTTATTCAGCTTTTAAGGGTCTTCTTTTCATCTTCCTATCCACAAACCTGTTTCTAAAACGTAGCAGATAAAATGGGCATTTAATTTACAAAAAAAGAGCAACATTTCACATTAGTCATGACGTCTTTCTTCTATTTTAAATTGATTACAGGGTTTCAATGTTTTGCTAATCATCTTATAGTTTCTATTCACATTTGTCTTTCTGCCTCAACTCTTTAGACATTTGGTTGTGAATGACGTTACAGCTCAACAAAAGCTCGACATACTTCATGACGTTAATGTCTGAAGCACTGGAATGCATCTTAATATATTGCATTTATCATGTTTTAGTTATAAATTTCCCCCCAGTACTATTTATAGATTATAAGAAAAGCTGTTCAAGTCTGTTACAGGAATGCTGAGTTTCTTTGATTAAAAATAACGGTTTATTTCTTTATTTTTGACAGACTTTGGCTTTGTCCTACATGACTGGAAGCATTTCTAGGTAAACAAAACGAAGCTTGTTTGGCATTACATAAACATTGCATCTTTTTTTCCTACAGGCCTAACTGTTTGCTGCTCTTTGTTTTTAGTTTTTACGACACAAAGGCAGTGTTTCTCGCTCTGGGCATCACTGCTGTCGTCTGCATCGCTGTCACCGTCTTCTGCTTCCAGACAAAGGTACACTGTGTTCTGTGTGTGTGTGTGTGTGTGTGTGTGTGTGTGTGTGTGTGTGTGTGTGTGTGTGTGTGTGTCATCATCTCCATATGGCTGCAGTGTGTTTGTTAATCAAACGTATGTGTTGCTGTTTTCTCTTCCAGGTGGATTTCACAAAGTGCCAGGGCTTTTTCTGTGTGCTCGGGATCGTAGTTTTTGTGACGGGCATCATTACAACCATCGTGCTTTCCTTCAAATATGTGAGTTTGATCTGATTAATCTGCTGCCATATACAACATAGTATACTGATATCTTGTGTTTTAGTTTAATGACTTTACTGATGGTGTTCTTTATTGTTGCAGATGCTGTGGCTTCACATGCTGTATGCAGCAATAGGAGCCATAGCCTTCACCATGGTGAGTGTTTTATTGAAATGCTCTCATTGTGTTACGTTATGTATCACTGAACACGTTTCACACTGTTGTTCTGAGGGTTTCTTGTGTGTCTTGTAGTTCCTAGCGTACCACACACAGCTGCTGATAGGAAACAGGAAGCACTCTATCAGTCCGGAGGAGTACGTCTTCGCCGCCCTCTCCATCTACGTCGACATCGTCCAGATCTTCATCTTCCTGCTTCAAATTATCGGTTCTTCGACCAAATAAGTCTACCAAAGACACAATGACCAACTGCGGTCGACCGGGTGCAGAATCATTACCTTTAAAAAAAAAAAGAAAAAAAAAAAAAAGCTTTGCTTTGTTGTGGATAACAATACATTTATAAAAGTCATGATGCACTCCAGGAGAAAAATGGAAGGGCTGAATGAGATTATGTCATAGTATAGGTCAATATGGTCAATCCTATGAACAAAAAACACACTTTTTCTAAAGTCCATACTTGTTTGTATCTGCATTGGCAGCTTGCCAGTTATCAAAGATTACTGATACTGCAACATGAATACCACAAATATTTATGGACACAAGAAAGAAAGTGACATTTAATCACTCTCACTGGATTTAATCAAACGTGTTCCTCTGCATGTTAATGTACATTTAAACATTCACATAAACTTCTGTATTAATGTTGAATAAGAGGGTATTTATGTTCGCTCTGTTGTTCGCTCTCCAACATACCTGTACGTACAGTAAAGGTGAGCAGTAAAACATAATGTGGTCGACATCATCAGAGCTGGGATGATGATATCCATTCTGATAATAATTATCGTTGTACAAGCTGCTTGTGTTCTGTCTTGGCGGCAGGAGAAATGTGTCATGGTTCATGAAGGGAGTGAATTATTAAAAGCTTCTCCTAAATGTTTTTTTTTTTTTATTTGGGCATTTTTGTAATTGTAATTTGAAGTTACTTCAAGAAAAGTTTTTTCTTTGTTTTCCTGTAAAGAGTTGGACATTAGGACAGATACCGCTCTCATGTCTTTACTGTAGATTACAGTAAAGTGTTCAGTTTGTTCGCTCAGTATGATAGTGAGGGGGAAACAGCTAGCTTGTCTTTGTCTTGAAGTAAATCATCTGCCTTAAAACATCTCTTAAATACTTGTTCTAAACATTTTTTTCTTTCATACATCTTAAACATGATAAAGTGAATAACAATCCACTTTTTTGTTGGACTCTAGAAGTCACTTTTATAAAAAATCTCTGTTACCGGACCTTTAATGTTTATACCTCAATATTTGGTGCTGATTAAACAAATGAGATCAAACATGTTGATTTGAAAGCTTTAGATTTGTTGGTCATTAGTTTGTCACCTTTAGACAGAGCCAGGCTAGCAGTTTCCCTCAGCCTCCAGTCTTTGTGCTAAGCTAAGCTAAGCTGCTGCCGATTGGCTGTGGCTTCATATTCACTGAACACACATTTTAGTGGTATTGAAAAAACCGCATCTAACTCTTAACAAGTCAAAACAATATTGTTAAAAAATATAATATGAAATATAATATAAACTCTTTTTAAATGCATGTTACAGGACAAACGTGTACAACTGTTTATTGTGCAAACTGTCTGAACCAACGACTCAGTTGAACTAAAAAGTGTTAATGTGCCCTAAACAACAATAGTTATGATGGTAGCCTAAGTACCCAAATACACTGGGTATCAATACTATGACTATTGACCCCTGATATACATCTCACCCTCAGATCTGCTCTGTGTTCATATAGTCAAACCTTTACTCATAGTCTGTAATACAAGTGTTGCTATGGTAACTATACACATCCTTAATCACTACAGTGCCTTGACAATGTTTCTGAGATGATATTTTTTACTTGAAGTACAGGTGCAGTAGTACTCATATAGGATATGTTACATACTGTTTGTCTCTGTTTTCACGTTTTCTTGTGTTACAGTCAGATTCAGGTCGGATACAGAGCGTCAGCAGGATGAGTTGTTCCACACAGGATAACACAATAAACTCTGTGGTGTTAAATTATTGGAACATTCCTGAATGTTGGAGTTTCAGCTGATGTGGAGCTTGTTCCCACCGCTGCTCCTCCACGTGTGTTCATATTGAAGTTAGATACAGTATAACCACAACTCCAAAGAAAACGAAGGCAAACACTGTAAATATGCAGTGCAGAGCAGTGTGCTGTCAGTATAACACATGAATGATGAGGACAATCTGTTTGCCTTTTATATCAAATAAAGATTTGTATTTGTGAGTTTTTATGTGGCTCATTATTGTTGTACCACTGAGTTTAGATTTTTACAAGTTTATACAATCAAAAATAAACTTTATTTTCTTTGTTATACTGTATTAATCAAGATACAATGAAATGCTCAATCTCAAAGAGTGATTTCCAAACATTTGGACCAAATGTTTCATTTTTTAAATAACGTGCAGGTTAAAACCCTTACCAAGCTGCTCCAGTAGTTTTCTTCAGCTTGCAGCTACAACACATCTGTAACAGCTGCAAAGTTATCCTTCAGGTAAATGCACCAAGTCAAGGTACATTTACAAAATGTGCTTGTTTTTGTCACTGACAGCCTCGTACACAGTTATGGAAAGTATCCCTACAGAAAAATATGCTGCTTTAAAACTAAAAGCAAGTGTTACATTGCTTCATTCAAAGCCACCATACTCTGTTGAAAAAAATAAAATTTTACCCTCACAGAATATTGGAGTTACTCGTCTCTGGCTTCCTTAAGTGTTAACTTTTTTTGTGTACTTGTCTGTTTCACTGATACTTTGTCTGTCTGATTCAAACTAAGGATTATAATTTTGAATGGCGATTCATTGCTGCTGTAAATATCAATAGTTGATTGCAATTAATCACGGTTTTTATCTTGTTGTAATTCCATTATTTTGTATTTAAGAATAACAATTGAGGCTTTTATTTTGAATGTTTTTACCTGCTTAAGCTGGGAGTACTTAACTTTTTGAAGCTGTTTGAATTCAACAATGCTTTTGTTTTGAAATAGAGTAAGGACCTTCTGGTAGTTTAAAGTTACAGCATTAACTTGACCATGGGAAAATATCAAAGAATAAATGAAAGCAGCTCCAAGGAACATTAACAAAATGAAATTATATGATGAGGTGGATATTTCTTTTAAAGATGGAGCAGAGTGCTTCTTTTTCATCACTGTGACTACAGGGAGACATTGAGGAGGCTTATCTACGGTGCAACTAAAGGGACAAAAGAGCATGGGATTAATCGCAATCAAAAAAATTTTTGCATTAATTTCAGACCTTAAATAATGGCGATTAACTAGTTAATGATGACATCCCTGTTTTAAATAACCATTTCAAAGACAAAAGTCAGAGCAACAAAAGCAAAGTAATCAGTCATGGGAGTGGTAGATCAGCAGCTGATGTGTCCTGAGGTCAAATTGGTGGTTTTCATAATGGGTGTGGTTATTTCTCATTGTGATTTAAAAAAGATCTTGCCTCAACAATAATGATCTTCCTCTGCACTGATCCTTTCAGTAACGTGTTGGGAGACTCAAAACAACAATTTAAGCCTGTCAGTGTGAGAAAAGAATTACCGGTACATTACAAGACGTAGATTTAACACTGTGCAACGCCACCTGATGGGTCGTACACTGCTCGAACTGGTTACCAACCAGCACCTGATCCTCTGGTTCCTCTCATTTCTGACAGGTAGAAACCACAGGGTCCGAGTCAACGGTCACCTCAGCTCACCCAAGACAGTTTCCACAGGAGCCCCCCCAGAGCTCAGTAATCTCCACTATTCTCTACACACTGTACACAAAATGACTGCAGGAGCACCAGCCCAGGAATCTGACATTAAATACTCGGATGACACCGTTATTATGGACACCGCCAAACTCAGAGGGACAGCTGCAGGTTGAGATACTCTTTCAGACTGGTGCAGGCTGAACTGTCTTGACCTTAACACCTCAAAGACTGAAGAAGCCACGTGTGTGTTTTTGTTGTTTTTTGTGTCTAGCTGTATGAACACTGATGCTCTTTTACAGATATGAAGTTCCTAATAGATAAATAAAGAATTTTATATGTGTGATTTAGACAGTGCTCTCTCTCTTTCGATCGAGGCAGCTTTTTGCTTTAAAAAAAAAACAAAAACATAAGTTTTTATTTTTATTTAAAGCTTTTCCACTTTTCTATACTATCCATCATTAGAATAACGTTGACTTTTCACCTGCCAAATTCAAAAGTCCTGAAGCATCATGTTTGTTGACAACCTTTTTCCCCCCGCAGGTTTCCCTTTGCTGTGTCTGAGCTGTGCTGATGAACTGGACAATATGCAAACAGCTTGAACATACCTGTCATTTACTAACAAAAAAACAATCATTAAATCAAGAAAGTCCATGGTTCAAAAATAGCAGAACTCTCTTTAAAGAGTGTGACCCAGCTGTCCTGATTAAAGGATTAGCCACTTGTACTCCTGATTTCCTGCATCGAACCTTTGAAGAAATATTCACACCTTATGAACACATCAGAACTCTTCAGTTGAAGTTCACATCTCTTGTGTTATCCGTCTGAATGGCTGCAGTGCAGAAGTCACCTTCACATTAGTGACCTTCAGGATTTGATGCAAATCCCAGCAGCCATGCAATGTACATTATCGGTCCAGTTTAACATCCTCTCCTGGATGATGGCGGTAGCGGCTCCCTTCATAATCTCCCTCGTTTGACATCTTCATCCTCTGTCGAATTTTGAGCTGCTTCAGGCGGTTCTTGTCCACTTCTCTCTTAGCCAGAATGAAGCCAATGATACCTGTGGGGAGGCCAATCATCCTGTAGGGGAGAGGTTAAGAGTTAGTTTTACACGTTTTATTTAACTACACCTTACAAACTAAAGGTCCTGCACAAACTTCTACATTCTGGTTAGGTAAGGTAGACGTTCTAAAAAGCTGAGTATACCTAACTTGCTCAAAATACTTTGATTTATGGCCTGCATAAATCAGGAAAATATCCCATGTGTATACCAACTTAAAGACAAAGGAACAGTTCATGACAGTGGCACATTCAGTCTGCCATAAAAGTCAGATGATGTTTCCTGTACCGCCGTGTCACAGCTGGATGTCTCCCGTTTACACTGAACAGAAAACAACCATGCAGTGTTGTTTGCTCATACTAATCCAGTAAGAAATATATCTGTGGTTTAAATGCTGCTGGCTTACTACAGCTGTATGTGCACACCTATCGAGTTGATTCCAATGCTACACCTATTAACATGAAATATCCCGTATGTTCCCTACATGTACACGTTTTATATGGAGGGGGTAAAGAAAGCAGACTTACCAGGCATAGCCAATCGTCATCATGGGGTTCTTTGCTTTCCTCTGGGGGATGTATTCAGGACCCTCAGGTTCCTCCTCCTCCTCCTCCTCCTCCTCCTCCTCCTCACCTGCTCTCTTCTCACCGGGCTGGGTGTGAGACTGGGTGCTGGCTGAGGTGTGAGGCTGGGTGCTGGCTGAGGTGTGAGGCTGGGTGCTGGCTGAGGTGTGAGGCTGGGTGCTGGAGCTGCACAGGGAGGCAGCAGGAGACACATGAAGTGACCGACAGCGAGCAGCATGCAGCCGCACACACTGACGCAGTGCCGGGGTTGGCCTCCTACACGTGAGTAGGCGCACACCTGAAGGGAGTAATGGCGAATTTATTATCAAATAGTTGACTTCTGGCACATTCATTACGAGGTAAATGTGAGGGTGCAGTCTTCATCATGAAAACAAGGAGAATACCCGACAAAAAAACATTTCACTCGTGTACGTATCTTAATGTCTTCGATAATTACTGATACTTAGTAGATAACATTACACAGAAAGTTCGGTGTTTTATCTCTAGTGTACCTGACAGTGCTGTCCTGACTGCTGTCACGTAGGGCGCCGCCATGTTTGTTGAATAAGTTCCCTCGGGCATGCGCAGTGTTTATATACTTACTGCTGCCACCTGCTGGACGACTTTAACACAGCGCTTTCATAAGATCAGCCCCAAATAGTGAAGAAACTCTGCCGAGGCACAATTTTGTTTTAAGGTCAACATTTTATTTATCGAAACATTCGACACTTTTCATTATTTTACAAAAAGACATACAATATAACATGAAACCGCAAAGCAGGTAAGGTTTAAATCTTTGCCTCTAATGTACAGTCATGGAGAAATAGCAATTACACCTTTCAGGTCAGTTCCCTCAACTGAGAGCCAGAAAGACTAAAGCCAAACAATCAAACAAGTGAAGGGAAAAGAGAGCGGTCTATTTACAAAAGTTGGTTTGACTAAGAAACACCTTGTTTTTTTTTGTTTGTTTGTTTTTTTAAGAGCCTGAGAATAGTCTGTACAAAGAGCTGATAAACTCACAAAACAAGTCGTGTAACATTTCATATTCTGCAACTATGTATGTGTTACATATGAGCATTCAAAAACGCCTAGAACATCATCAATCAGGGTGTAAGGGACGTGGTTTAATCTTCCAGGGTGTAGTTTGGATTGACGACAAGAACAGCCTCTTCTTCAGCGCTCACAGACTCTGAGCCCTTCAGACCAGCCTGGGACAGCTCGATGAGGATGTGATCCTGGAAGTGACAGACACAGTTATGAGTCACGCATCAGTCATGTCTGAACCTTTCATTAAAGTGACTCCTCTTCTGTCTGCTCGTCTAAAAGCAGGGGTTTTTTCGTTTGAACTCACGTAGTGCACCAGCCTGTGGAGGACCTTCTCTATCAGACCCTTCTTATTGACGAGCTCCTCCTCAGAGTCGATCTCTGACTCGATCTCCTTCAGATACCAGTTCACCACTGCACTTTTCTTCAGCTCCTCCTCTTCCTCAGCTGTAACAAATATCAGTCGAGAGTTAAGACTGGATGATAAAAGGAAAAGAAAACAAGCGCAGGGTGTCTCCTTAAGTAGCGTAAGCGGTCTCTTACCCTCCTCCACTTTTCTTAAATGCAGTACCAGCAGGTTGGAGATGCGTCTGTAATCATGGAAGGACAGGCGAAGAGAAGGTTTGGGTTCGCTGCCAGGCTCAGCATGGCCGTTCATACCGTTGGTTCCATTTGCATGTCCGTTTACACCGTTATCATGGCCGTTTATACCATTCACTCCGTTAGGGACAGCGTTTCCTGCGAAGACAGGTTAACGTTTAATAAGAGACACCACAGCATGCGAACTGGACGTCTAGAGGTTATTTATGCGTTTGTGTGTCAGTACCATCCTCCTGCTGCTGCTGCTGCTGCTCCTCCTCCAGCTCATCCTCCTGCTCCAGGTTGATGTCGGGCGTCTCCACTCTGATGATGGACTTGTTCAGAAGACGGAAAGCTTCCTTCACATGTTTTGGTTGCACCTGAGGACGTAAAGAGGAAAAGCAACCGCTCAACAGTCTGTATGTTTTATTGTTGATTTAATGTCATGTGGTAAACTATTTTTCGTTTCTTTTCCGGACTCACCTCGTCACAGCAGTGCATGCGGGCCATGCCCTCTGAGAGGCGGATCATGCTCTCCAGCTGTCGCACCGTGATTCTCCAGGCCGACTTGGACGTTCCTCCAGAGCCGTCACGCTGCCGCAGACGCTTGTACTGCTCGACGATGAACTCCTCGGATTCACTGGAGATCTACAAACACCAAGTGAAATATTCAATGGTTAATATACATGTACAACTCGCTAAACATGACGCACGTGCACAATTAGCATGGCC